TCGAGGGAACGATCTTTACTAATCACTTTTATTACTTGAAACGAACGGTATACTTGCCGATTTCGCAACTTCTAACTCCAAAAAAAGAAAAGGGGTTCAAGAAACCCCGAGAGCCTCTGCGAACAAGAAATCAAGCCTTGAATTCAGAAGCCAGAAAATGAAAATCAACGATTCAATGAAAGAAATGATAATGGAGAAAGATAAAGAAGAAGAATAGTTTCACTTTACCTTTGAGTTAATCCAATTTGACCTTCACAGCTGATGAATCAAAACCTTCGAGTGAACATGGGCGCTAATGTAAGAAGATTAGGGTTAAAGAAAAAAACGTGCAGCGAATAACCCGCAAGCTGACCCGCAAGTTGGTTCGATTTTTTTGAGCTGGTTCGGGTTGTCAGCTCATTTTTGCCAACTCAACTCGGTTCACTTTTTGTGGGTTACTTGCCAACCAGTTTGCCATCCCTAGCTGTAGCACATCTTAATCAATTTATGTGTTGAATTGTATAGAATTATTTAAAGGGTACCATAGGTCAAGGCATTTTTTTCTCATCCACTTCTCCTGTGCAGTTGAACGCTTTTGTTGATTCTGATTAGGCTTCCTGCCTTAACAGTAGACAGTTTGTGTTTGGATTTTGTATTTTTATTGAAGAATCTTTAATATCTTGGAAATCAAATAAAAAAAGTAATGTTTCTTGATCATTAGCTGAGGCCAAGTATAGGAGTATAGCTCATATCACTTGTGAAATTATGTGGTTGCTTTCTCTGCTGAAGGACCTTTATGTTTCTTACTCCACCCCTTCCTATTTGTTTTGACGATTAAGTAACCTTATGGATTATTGCCAATCTCTTTTTTCATAAGAGGGCAAAAATATTGAGCTAGATTTTCATCTTGTTTGAGAGCATATCCTTAAGGGTCACGTTCAAACATTTTATGTTTCTTTTTCCCATCAACTTACTGATCTGCTGCCCAAGGCACTACATTTTTCACACATTCAGAAGCTTATTTCCAATATAGGTGTGCTTAACATCCATACTCCATCTCGAGGGAGAGTTTTAATATATTATATATATATATATATATATATATATATATATATATATTTATACATGGGTTAAAAGTTTATCCTTTTTAAAAATATAAATTATATCATTTTAGCAATTTATAACTACGTACTACAGGTAATACATTGTTATGATATTAAAGTTGTACTTTTTTCACTTTCCACGTCAGCAAATAGTGTCTGAAGAGAAAGAAAAAGTATAAATTTAATATTTTAACCATGTATTACCTGTAGTACATAGTTATAAATTGCTAAAAAGACATAAGTTACATACTTTAGTATATGATGTTTACATTTCTACAGCTGTTGTACGTTCAACAGTCAAATACTTGCCTATATATGTGTGTGAAATCATTAAATGTGGGGAATCATAACCATACAAAAGGGAAAATCATTAAATGTGGGAAATCATAACCATACACTTGTCACTGTTGTACATAAAGCAAATATAGAAATGATTTTACCATATATATATATATATGTGTGTGTGTAAATATATAGGGCAGAATCATTTGACACTCGTATCAAACTTTGAAATTCAACACTAAATCTTAACCGATTGATTTCCTCCAATCAACAGTTATCATTTATTGAGAATCAAACTTATTAATTAATTATTAATTTCCAATAAATAATAATTGTTGATTGGAAAAAATAACGGTTAGGATATAAACTTATCTCAAGCTGCTTGAGAAATATTTTTCCCATATATATATATATATATATATATATATATATATATATATATATATGACTTTAATGTTTCTACAGTAAATGTAGATAAGTTATATACATTCACTCCCAAAACGACGTCGTTTTAGGCTCAATGTAGATAACTTATCTACATTGACCGTAGAAAAAATGAAATATGTATATATATATATATATGGAAAAATATACTCTTATGTTGTATGAGAGATTTTTCTCTCCTACATATACATCGATTTTCGTGTTACTTTTTTTTCTTTTTCTAGAGTGGATGGGTCCCACACATCATTATCTCTATTGTATGAGAGAGTTCTCTCCTATTGCATGAGATTAATAAAGACCTATATATATATATATTGGGCTTAACTAAATCGTACAAATATATATCAATGGTGATAAAGGAAGAGAGATAAAAAAAAGAATCATAACCATTTAAAGATAAATCAATTAATATAAGAAAATTAAAAAATAAAACAATAAAATTTTTTAGGTATACGGAGATAAATATATCTTAAGGTGTTTGAGAAATATTTTTCTTATATATATATACATATATATATGTGTGTAAAATTATATCTAAAGTTGTTGTACATGTATCAATGACAAATGTATGATTATGATTCTCTATATTTAATATTTTTACTTTATATATATATATATATATAGGTTAAAGCATTTAATGTGAGGAATAATAGGTTAAAGCATTTAATGTGAGGAATAATTATATATATATATATATATATATAGGTTAAAGCATTTAATGTGAGGAATAATAATCATATATATATATATAGGTTAAAGCATTTAATGTGAGGAATAATAATCATATATAAAGTGAAAATATTAAATGTAGAGAATCATAATCATACATCTGTCATTGATACAAATACAACAACTTTAGATATAATTTTACATACATATATATATATATACATATATATATATATACATATATATATATACATATATATATATATATATATATATATATGGCTTTAAGTAACGTTTCTAAAGTGAATGTAGATAAGCTATCTACATTCTCTTTCAAAATGATATCGTTTTGGGTTAAAAAATTATAATGAAAAAGACTATTATAACCCTGAAATAAATTATAATTACAAAAATATCTTGATTTCCACCTCTAAACGACGTTGTTTTAGGCTCAATGTAGATAAGTTATCTACATTGACAATAGAAAAGCGAACCCTATATATATAAAATTTCTCACTACTGCACGTGAAGCGACTGCAGAAAAATCGAACCTCTATGTATATACAACTTAAGGATTTAATGTGGGGAATATTTGCGTAGAGCAAATGAATATAACAGTAAACCCTTAATTTGGTTCTTCAAAAATTAAGGTATCGCCACTTTAGTTTTTTAACCTTTTTTTGCCACCAAATTAGTCCATCCAAGATTAAACTATCACTATATTAGGCTCTGTTTGATTACTGTTTTTAAAAACAGTTTTTTAGTTTTTAGAAGAAAAAAAACTCGTTTGATAGACTTGTTTTGTAAAATAAAAATTAAAAACTGTTATTATTTTTTTGTTTTTAGAATCAAATTTAGAGAACATTTGGGTTGTTTTTGTTTTCTGTTTTGGTTTTTAATTTTCAAAACAAAAAAAACACAGAAAACAACTATTTCCTTAATTATTCTACAAAACAGTTTTAAGAACAAAAAAACTAAAACACAATCAAACGTACCCTTAATCTTGCAAAGATTTGTTCTACCGAATCACTCCCTTAAAAAATTATCGCCAAATTTATTCGCGCAAAAGACTAAAGTGGTAACACAAGAGGAAGAAATTAGTGATTTGTTTTTTTAGTGACTAATTTGATAAAAAAAAAATAAAAAAATTCAATAGACTAATATGATGACAACTAGATTTTCCAGAGACTAAGTAAAAAAAAAACATTTTTTTAATAAAAAAATGTAGTTTCATCTTATTTTTTTCATAAACAAATTGAAGATTATATGATGCAAATGGAAAAGCATGTTTGTCCCTTCACCTAACGAAAGAGTATATCTGATGCAAGTGCAAATGCTAATAGGCACCGGATCAACAACAAGCGAGTTGGTTAAAATAAACCAAATGAATTATTTACGGTATTAATATAGTTTTATAAGAGTTATGTTGTAGGAAAAGTGATTGTATAATATTATAAAGATTCGTTTTGCGTGCTTAATTATTTTATTTTATTTTTGCTTTAGAAAGTGCAGGCTCCACAAAATGTTGTGTGTGTAAGAAATTTTTTTGTGTCATGTTAAAGGACAAACTAAAACCTAATTAATATTTCTCACATATTTTTATCTCATGTACATATAGAAAAGTATATAAAAAAAGTATAGAATTCATATGAGATTATGTGAAAATAAGAGAGATAAAATAATATATGAATCTCACTATTTACAATATTAATAAGGGGCATGTTATATTTACAAACTTTTTTGTTTATAAACTCTTACAAACTATATTATCTTCTCTCCGGAGAACACATGTTACACTATCTTCTCTCGGCAAAAGATAGTGTAATTTGTAAAAATTTGTACAAAAAGTTTGTAAACGGATCCTTCCCCTATTAATAATATATGAATCTCATTATTTACAATATATATTAATAGAGTAAATATCATTTTTGATCCTCAGCAAATTTCACATGCCCGCTTCAGTCTCTAACAAATAAAAAGACTATTCGTGGTCTCTAAGAAATTCAAAATGGATCCATTTAGTTGAAATCATGGTCCCTCACAAATTTAAAAAAGACCCACATTAGTCCCTCAAAAGGACTAAAATGGATCCACTTTAAATTTTTTAGTGATCACGAATAACCTTTTTATTTACTGGGAACTAAAGCGGGCATTATAATACTTACTGAGGACCGAAAAGGATATTTACTTATATTAATATAAGCAAGGTTATACTTACAACTTTTTTTTTTACAATCCCTTATAACCATATTTTAATACCGTTAATTTTCGTCAATCAACGGTTATTATTTATTGTAAATTAATAATTAATTAATAAATTTAATTTGTAAAAAATAATAATCGTTGATTGTCAAAAATTGACGATATTAAAATATAATTGTAAGAGGGTGTAAAAAAATAAAATTATAAATATAACCTAGCGTAAACAGTAAAAAAAAAAAAAAAAAAAAAAGGTCAACCTTGTCACCTTGGTGGAGATAAGAAAGAGAAGAAGCAATCAGTGAGTGTGTGCGTGCTGAGTGTAAACTGTTAACAATGAAGTCTAATTGCAGAAACATCCTCCTCGCGCTCTTGTTAGCAATAACAATATCATCGTCATCATCATCATCGGAAGAAGAAAACACCATCATATCTCGTTTCCAACAATACCTCAAAATCAACACTGCCCAACCCAACCCGCGTTACAATGAAGCAGTGGAATTCCTTACATCAGAAGCCAAGTCCCTCTCACTTGAATCCCAAACCATTGAGTTCGTAACAGGGAAGCCACTAGTTCTTCTCAAATGGCCAGGCACGAACCCTGACCTCACTTCCATTCTTCTCTATTCTCACACCGACGTGGTCCCCGCCGAACATGACAAGTGGACCCACCACCCTTTCACTGCTCACATCGATTCCGACGGTCGCGTCTACGCCAGAGGCTCTCAGGATATGAAGTGTGTAGGCATGCAATACCTCGAAGCTATTCGCCGCCTCAAGTCTCAACAACCACCCTTTCAACCACCGCGCTCCGTTTACTTGGCCTTCTCCCCCGACGAAGAGATTGGCGGTCACGACGGTGCTGGAAAGTTCTCTCAATCTGAGATCTTTCGCCAGTTGAATGTCGCCATAGTTCTTGATGAAGGTAAATAAAATTTTATTATATTATGTAATAATTTCATTCGATAAAAATAATCACAAATGCATGATAGATTAAATATCATTGTATCATCTTATCTATTGAGCGAAAAAATTTGATTTGACTACTAGAATCTTTCTCTCCATGACTTATTCCGAAAATGACAATCTTGGTGTGATGGGAGCATGAATATAAATAGGCTAAAGATTGACCTAGCATAACCCTAGTCAATAGTGTCTATTGAGTTCATCCATCATTGAGTCCGGTTGTAATGCCTCGTCTGCAGCCGGTTAATTAACATTTATATGATAGTAAGCGCAACATGTTCAACTTAATTTAATGCGGAAGCTAACTGAATACATTTTCTCTTTTTCCTTAAGTATTGTAAACTTTTTCACTTCCATGGCCAAAATAAAATGGACAACATTTCATCTGTATTTTGGACCACTGGGGATAATTCCCACAAAGATAATTTCAACCTGATTGACAGTTTAATATAATCCAGGTATACCACAATATAGATAAAACATATTGCCCAACCATCCATGGCCTAGGCTATCTCATAATCATACTGCCTGAAAATAATGTCCATCATGTTACTCCGGTCAGACACCAATACCTACACTGTGATACCTAACTAGGCCTAATAACAATAGATGTTAAAAGCTCAACTTATTATGATCACAATGAGTTCATCATATTAATTAAATTGGAATATCCATTAACTCGATTAACTTTAAAATGTAAAAACTAATTACTAAATATTGTCCACAGATAGGAAAATTTTCAACATATTATTCAATCTGAGTGGATTCTCTCATGTTAAGTGATGTGCACATTTGGATAGGGAGTGAGGAAAGGATAATTGTTGATTTGTCTATGAACTGCTGAGATCGTCTCACATTACTTGATTATCTTTGACTAATTCATTTAGTTTTTACAAATGGACAGGGTTGGCTTCGCCGGATGAGCACTACAGGGCGTTTTATGCGGAGAGGAGCCCGTGGTGGATGGTGATCAAGGCTGTTGGGGCACCAGGCCATGGTGCCAAGCTGTATGATAACACTGCTATGGAGAATCTCTTGAAGAGTATTGAAAGCATTAGAAGGTTTCGCGCCTCGCAATTCGACTTGGTCAAGGCTGGCTTGAAGGCTGAAGGGGATGTGGTTTCTGTTAATATGGCCTTCTTGAAGGCTGGAACTCCATCTCCAACTGTAAGTCAACTCCATCAAGCTTGCCTTGTCTTGTGTAATATATAATGTGGTTACTATATGAATAGATATAGAATTATCATATCAATGTTCAATTATTCATTTGTGTGGAATCCACAAACAAAGATAATGACAGATATCGCATGTGTGTGTGCGCGCGCTAAGAGATCCCAGAAAATATTATGGTTAAATTTCCTCCTGGATCATTATATTCTGTCTGTCTTTTGCTGTCCACCAGGGTTTTGTCATGAATTTGCAGCCATCTGAAGCAGAAGCTGGATTTGATATTAGGGTACCACCAACTGCTGATCATGAATCATTGGAGAGACGCATTGCTGAAGAATGGGCACCTATTTCGCGCAATATGTCATTCAGTGTAATTGGCTAATTATCCACTCTTTGCTTTATATTTATCCTCCATGTATTGTAAATACACCCAGCTAATAGTTGGCTCACTGCTTTGCCTTTCACTTTCATAGAAATTTGCAGCCATAGAAGCATTTCTATCGATGATTAAGCCTTGGAACTTTTTTTTTTAGAACTAACACATATACTAGAACATATCTAATTATAGCCTTCATCTTCTGCAATTTATATACCTTTTCATTTTCAATGAGAAAAAGTTAATGTCATGGGTGATGTTGCTCGGTGTTTTGGTCTAGAACAAAGTAAACTAAAGAAAAAAAGGGCTGAAGATACCATTTCTAACCAGTACTAAGCCAAAGTTAAATAGAAAGAGCATCAAAATGTCAAGTAGTTTATTAGAAGTATGTGATTTTGATTATTCTGAATTCCGCATAAAATATAACTTAAAAGCTTATAAAAAACTATGAAGTTTTTCTTGCTTTGTTTCAAATAATAGATAAACCTTTTCATTGCCAAGTATCTACCTAGCAGTTATAAAAGATAGATTTGTATCCTCTTACTGCTTAGGTTGGTTAGATGTTCGGGTAATTAACCATTCTATTGGTGGTTTGCGTCAATTGAAGTATTCTGTATGTTGTTCATTATAAGGTCTGTTGTGTCAATTGGTTCAATTTTATTCTGTTCGTTAGATTCAGAATCCTTCAAGCTTCTGCCTGCTGCAGGTGCCTTCCTTTTTTTGATTTGTGTACTTGTGTGGGGTGTGGGTGTGGATGTAAGTGTGTGTATTTGTCTAACATGTTCGGATGACTGTAATTGCACAATTGTTTAATAGAGCAAATGATAAAAATAAATAAAATGAAATATATTGAAATTAATAAATTAATTCAAATTCTGTATTATTCAAGCTAGAAGGAAGAGTGGAAGACATTTATTATGGTATTTGTTTTGTTTGGGGGATTAATTCTGGTTAGGCTTTATGAATTTAAATGGAGAAGGAAAAACCAGATAATGGTAAAGTGGGTTTTAAATTTTAACATCACAGATTGACCTACCAGATAATGGCAAGGATAAAGAATGTCTTTGGAATAAACTGACTTTAAAAGGATGGTTACAACTGCCATTCTGCGTTATCACTTTCAGTCAAATTTTTATTTGTATGCAACATGATTGATTATTTAAAAACTTTACTCTTTTTCAAAACAAATTACCCCTTAATTAGATTCTCCATCTCATATCTTTTAGCTTGGGCAGTTCAAACAGAAGGTACCTGTGCATGATGCGTCTGGGAAACCAGTCCTCACTAAAACTGACAGTTCCAATCCCTGGTGGGTACTGTTAGAAAACGCAGTCCAAAAAGCTGGTGGGAAACTTGGTAAGCCAGAGGTCTTTCCTGCCTCTACAGATTCGCGCTACTTCCGCAATCTTGGATTGCCAGCAATTGGATTCTCACCTATGGCAAACACTCCTATTCTACTCCATGACCACAATGAGGTGATTCCTTTAATTTATTGTGTGCATAATTGATCATTTTGCTAGTATCCTCATCTACACTAATGATATCATTGTCTGTAGAATGATATGTCCGAATTGTTATTTAGAACTAAGACATGCTTTAAGTCCTAATTAAGATAAGGCTTTCATGATGATGCATTGAATTAGCTCTATTATGGCTAAAAAAATGTAGTCCTGGACACGAATTTTTCAGGTTGATTTTATCTTTTAATTTATTTCTTTGTTTCTTGATTCAGTTGTTGGCATACTTGGGTTTATTTTAGCCTCCTTTTCTATGGCTTATTTGCCAGACCAGAGATTAGTTTGTAGGAAAATGTTTTTATATAATACAATGTATCCTAATGGGAGAAGTTAGTGCCAGAACGTTGTGGTTACAAAAAATCACAATGTTTTGTCTTTTTTTTGGACAGATTCTCTTACAGATCAGTGGCATAGAAATCAAGTTTTTTTTTCCTTCCTTTTTTTTTTTAGTGTGTGAACTGTGAAGTGAAATTGCACTAGTGTTCCTCTATACTAATTCACTACCATTCTTCTGCAAGCATTTACTGTAACTGCATTTAGTTTGGAGTTCAACTTTGACGTGAGCATTATTTCTCTTTTTGCAGTTTCTGAACAAAGATGAATACTTGAAAGGGATTAAGATCTATGAGTCAATAATTAAGGCATATGCATCCTTCGATGATCTTGGAAGAGATGGAGGATCCAGAGATGAATTATGAGCAAGTCGTGTGGCACCTCCTCCATTCTTAATTCCCATTTTCTGCCTTTCCTCAATGTAACATTATATGTAACAATATAGAAGAAAAAACAACTCGGTTATAAACTTTGCACTAAGCAACTTAGCCCTTGCGCCTATGTTATTCTTAAATAAATTTTCTTTACATAATATCGTTACGGAAAATCACTGTTATGTCTGCTTGTGTTAATTGATTAGTTTGCTTCTAAAAAGTGCCTTACCTTAATAAATTAATTAAAGGTTCGTCACTTCTATTGTTGCTGTAGATCAAAAAATTTGCAGCAAACATATTTACACTAAGATCGGTATGTGAATTTCTAGCATTTCATATCCTGACCTTTTATGTGTTGTTGTAAAAACAAATTTATGGGGCGACAACAGAAGAATATTTTTCATTAATTAATTAGGAACTCATAAAACAAGGACTACAACATCATTTAATCTAATCTAATTGGATATGAACAAGGCCTATGCTTGTAATATAAAAGTTACTTATTATCATAGGGCAGGTTATATTTACAAATTTTTTTGTTTACAAACTATACTATGTTCTCCCGGGAGAACACTGATTACACTATATTCTTCTGAAAGAACATAGTGTAATTTATAAAAAAATTCAAAAAAAAATTATAAACGAATCCTTCATCACGTGAACACTTAAATCATACATATGCCAATTGTTAAGATTTATGTTAGAAGTGGGACATGCATAGTGATAGAGGTACTTCTCTTTCGCAAGTGAAATGTCTTACATGCAAATATCTCAAAAGTTTTACGATGCTTTCAAGATTTGTGGGTCTCCACCCATTGCACGCAAACTTCACGCCCAACTCATACTCTCCGGTTTGGACGCTTCCATCTTCTTACTAAACAATCTACTGCACATGTACTCCAACTGTGGCTTGATAAATGATGCTTTTCTGGTTTTCAGTGAGGCCAATGATCGTAATAACTTTACTTGGAATACAATGATCCATGCCTTTGTTGATTCGGGTCGGATGAGGGAAGCAGAGCACTTGTTTGATGAAATGCCTGTGAGAGTTAGAGACTCTGTTTCTTGGACCACCATGATATCTGGTTATTGTCAAAATGGGCACCCTGAGGATAGCATCAAAACTTTTGCTTCAATGCTTCGGGACTCTAATTATCAAATTCAAAACTATGATCTCTTTTCATCTACTTGTGCAATGAAGGCTTGTGGCTGCCTTGGAAACACTCAATTGGCTCTTCAGTTGCATGCCCATGTTATCAAGTTACGTTTAGAAACCCAAACTTGTATTCAGAATTCCCTTGTTGATATGTATGTTAAGTGTGGAGCAATCACTATGGCCGAGACTGTTTTCTTCATCATTGAAAGCCCAAGTTTGTTTTGTTGGAACAGTATAATTTATGGTTATTCTCAATCGTATGGACCCTATGAAGCTCTAAGTATATTCACTCGAATGCCTCAACGTGATTGTGTTTCTTGGAACACGCTGATCTCAGCTTTCTCTCAACATGGTCTTGGGGTTCACTGTCTTAGTTTGTTTGTAGAGATGTGCAATCAGGGTTTTAGGCCCAATTTCATGACTTATGGTAGTGTGCTTAGTGCATGTGCCAGCATTTCTGATCTGGATTGGGGTACCCATTTGCATGCTCGGATTCTTCGCATGGAACATAGCCTGGATGCGTTTTATGGAAGTGGTCTGATAGATATGTATGTGAAATGTGGATGCTTAGGATTGGCAAGGCGTGTGTTTAACAGTTTAGGGGAACATAATCAAGTTTCTTGGACTTGTTTGATCAATGGGGTTGCACAGTTTGGACTTGATGGAGATGCTTTGGTACTATTTAACCAAATGAGGCAGGCTTCTGTGGCGTTGGATGATTTTACTCTTGCCACGGTTCTTGGGGTTTGTTCAGGTCAAAATTATGCTGCCATCGGTGAACTACTTCATGGATATACAATCAAATGTGGGATGGATTCCTCTGTTCCTGTAGGGAATGCAGTCATTACAATGTATGCTAAGTGTGGAGATACTGAGAAAGCTAATCTTGCATTTAAATCAATGCCAATTAGAGATACCATATCATGGACGGCAATGATCACTGCATTCTCTCAGAATGGAGACATTGACAAATCCAGGGAATATTTTAATACAATGCCTGAGCGTAATGTAATAACTTGGAACTCTATGTTAAGCACATACATTCAACATGGCTTTGCAGAAGAAGGCCTGAAGTTGTATGTTTTGATGAGAAGCAAAGGAGTCAAACCAGATTGGATCACTTTTGCAACCTCAATCAGGGCCTGTGCTGACTTGGCTATTATAAAACTTGGGATACAAGTTGTATCTCATGCTATAAAGTTTGGACTCAGTTCAGATGTTTCAGTTGCAAATAGTATTGTTACCATGTATTCAAGATGTGGACAAATCAAAGAAGCACAGAAAGTTTTTGGCTCGATATACGATAAAAACCTGATTTCCTGGAACGCTATGATGGCAGCATTTGCTCAAAATGGTTTAGGTTTGAAAGTAATTGAAACATTTGAGGATATGTTGAAAACGGAGTGCAAACCTGATCATATAAGCTATATTGCTGTTTTATCTGGTTGCAGCCACATGGGGCTTGTAGTTGAAGGGAAACATTACTTTGATTCCATGACTCAAGTTTTTGGCATTTCTCCAACAAATGAACACTTTGCTTGTATGGTAGATCTTCATGGACGAGCAGGGTCACTAGACAAGGCCAAGAATTTGATAGATGAAATGCCTTTTAAGCCAAATGCCACTGTTTGGGGTGCTCTACTAGGAGCATGCCGAATCCATCACGATTCAAGACTAGCAGAAACTGCTGTGAAGAAGTTGATGGAACTAAATGTTGAAGATTCTGGAGGTTATGTACTTCTAGCAAATATATATGCTGAGAGTGGAGAATTAGAAGGTGTTGCTGACATGAGAAAGCTGATGAAAGTAAAAGGAATTAGAAAGAGTCCAGGTTGTAGCTGGATAGAGGTTGATAACAGGGTACATGTGTTCACTGTAGATGACACTAGTCATCCACAGATAAAGGAAATTTATGTAAAACTGGAGGAGATGATGAAGAAGATAGAAGATACAGGTAGATATATTACTGCAGTCTCTTCTGCTCATAGGAGTAAGAAATACCATAGTGAAAAACTTGCCTTTGCTTTTGGGTTGCTCAGTTTGCCATCTTGGATGCCTATACATGTAATGAAGAATCTCCGTGTTTGCCATGATTGTCACTTGGTAATAAAGCTATTGTCTTTTGTCACCTCAAGGGAACTTATCATGAGGGATGGATATCGATTTCATCATTTCAAAGATGGGTTTTGCTCCTGTGGAGACTATTGGTAATCTGTGGAACACATTTGTTATATTCTTCCCCTCTTGTTTGGGTATCTCTACCCATCTGGATGAGACTAATCCCTTCGTTTGAGACTAATCCCTTCGTGGGGTAGAGCGCGAAGGTTTTATGTCACTGACTCAAAGTTGATTTGCCTAGGAATTGAATCATACACCTTCCAGTTGTGCCACCCCTCGAGGTTTCCCTCCCATAGCTTTTGTTTTCTCCATTATTACTTCTCAAAAGCAGGCAATTATTATTTGACAAGAGTAGATTCATTGTACTATAGTTATAGCACCAGTTTTTATTTAAATAGGAGTTTTGCATGTGAGAACTAGCAATTTTAACAGTCATATAATGCTTAACTTCTCCTGATAGCTCTTTTGGCATAAAAATACCAACAATTGTTGTTGCTGAAACTTGATTCCAAAAATAATGGTTAAAGTTTGTTCCTTTAATTAGAATGAATAAATGACTGGGACCACAGTTGCTTGAATTTTTGTTTATAAAACATGGAGGGTGAAGCTGAGTTAGATGAGGGTGAAGCTGAGTTAGATGAGTGTAAGTACAGTTTGAGATTCAATGTCGGACAAAAAAATTAATTTATTGCAAATTAAATAAAAAATTACGAATTTATTGTTGTTTTTAAATTATTTACAAATATATTGCAGGATGTCACGTCTCGATTGAGCGTGACTATTCACGCTTAGGCATCATATCTCATAAAAACACGCCTAAAAAAGGTATATCCTAATCATCAGTCACGCCGGTAAGAGGCGTGACCTTGTTAGATGCAAAATCCTTCGAAGAATCCGTATGAAAAACAAACCAAATTAACCACCAATAAAATACCACAATACATGGTGCCAAAAGTTATCCACCACTTTGTGTATTAAGTCGTTGAATAAACAAAGGTTAATATGCCTACGAGTTCGGGATGCACTTGGCATTAGGGTTGTCAAAAACGAGCTGTCAACCCGAGCCAACCCGGCTCGTTTCAACTCGTGAAAAAACGAGCCAACCCGCGGGTCAAATGAGCCAACGTAAAAGAATACAAAATATAATATACAAAATGGACAAAACCCACACATGTTGTCATCATTTTTCTTCCTTCTCTAAATCTAAGTCCCTAATCTTCTCACATCCATGCCATTTTTATATTGTTAGGCTGTGCTGGCTCTGTTTGGTTCAAATATCTTACCCACCTGGTAGCAAGTGATTCTGATTGTTTCTGGATGTTGATGCAAATTTGTTATGAAGAAAATTTGAAACTAAAATATTTTGCTTTTATTTCTCATTTTGTAACCATTTGTTTAAGCTAATGGAAGCTACATAGCAGGTGCATTAATACTACAGGGTCATTTAAATAGGCTGAAAACGAGCCAACCCATGAGCAATTTTCGAGCCAACCCGCGAGCCAATTTTCGAGCCAACTCGCGAGCCTATTTTCGAGTCAACCCACGAGCCATATTTTTGAGCCAACCCGCGAGCCAATCCTAACCCGACTCGGGTCGGGTTGTGTTGGGTTTTCTGGCTCCTTTTTTTTTCGAGTCAACCCTAACCCGGCTCGTTTTTTTCGGGTTGAATGCGGGTTGGGTCGGGTCGGGCCGGGTTGGCCCGTTTTGCCAACCCTACTTGGCATTAAACGGACAAGTCCAAAAATGAGATATGGAGAATTAAAAGTGAGGAACCATATTTTCCACCCACAGCAAGTTGACAGAGGTTGCATAACCACGTTCTTGGAAAGTTTGAGAGGTTGCAAATCCAAATCCAAATATGGCGGGATTTTTTTTATCTCGGGAAAATTACAAAAAAATGTTTGGTAGGCTAACATTTTTGTCAAAAATGTTGAGTTATTTTTATAATGCTATGTTTGGTTGGTTGTGGAATATATGTAGGAATATGGAACAAAATTATGAAATTATCCACCATGTTTGAAAATTTGGTTTAAGAGAAAAGTGTTTATCATTTTAAATGACATAAAGTTATGTCATTTTAAGAGAGAGATAGACACAAAATAATTTTTTATTTTAAATTTAAATTAAATAAAACCTCCCACTTTCTCCCAATGATTTACATTCATTGTGTTTATCTCTATCTTAAAATGACATAACTTATGTCATTTAAAATGACAAACATCAAACCCTTGTTTTAAACGTTCTTTTTATAAGAGGGTGTCTCCGTCTTGGTTTGTTAAACAAGATGACGTGTTTTTTAAACAAGTTTAGCCTATCAAACATTTTTTTGTAACTTCTCCGAGATAAAAAAAATCCTGCCATATTCTAGGTAACTTTTTTTTTTTTCTGGTAAAAAAAACATCTCCCATACCAAACGCCCGCTAGGGGTATGACGCCCAACTTGTTGTGGGTGGAAAAAATGGTTCCTCACTTTTAATTCTCCATATCTCATTTTTGGCCAATGGCGGAGTCAGGTACATCCTCGGTGTGGCATCGACCCAAGCTAAATTTTAACAAATTATACTTATTATATGTAATTATATAATTAATTATAATTTGCCCCGAGTTACAATTTGTATTTTGGCCCTATCTAAAACTTAAAATATTTTTGGTAAGAGATTTGGGTAAGTTATTAGGTTATGTGTTCAATTTTTACTTTTATAAAAATTAAATTTAATAAAATTATAATTCTTCTTGGTACTGCCTGCTCATGTGCTCTATATTTAATATAATTTAAATAGGGAGAGATATATTTATAAACTTTTTATTTATAAACTCTTACAAACTACGGTATGTACTCTCGAAAGTACACTAGGTAACACTATGTACTTCCGGAGTATATAGTATAATTTGTAAAAATTTGCAAAAAAAAATTTATAAATGAATTTGTCCCCAATTTAAATATATTATTATGTGAACTAACTAAAGTTTAGAAAAATAAATACACGTAAAATTTTTTGGCCTTGAGCCCGGCTCCACCACTGTTTTTGGACTTGTCCGTTTAATGCCAAGTGCATCCCCAACTCGTAGGCAACGTAGCATATTAACCTTTGTTTATTCAACGACTTAATACACAAAGTGGTGGAGAACTTTTGGCACCATGTATTGTGGTATTTTATTAGTGGTTAATTTGGTTTGTTTTCCATACGGATTCTTCGAAGGATTTTGCAACTAACAAGGTCACGCCTCTTACAGGCGTGACGTAAGATTGGGTTACGTTTAGGCGTGTTTTTATGGGGTATAAAACCTACATTAGACGTGAATAGTCACACCCAATCGGGGCGTGACATCCTGCAATACATTTGTAAATAATTTGAAAACAACAATAAAATTGTAATTTTTTATTTAATTTGCAATAAATTAATTTTTTTGCCTTCAATGTCGCCACCAAATTCTGAACCCTCACACAAGAGAGGGAGAACCTTGAAAACTCAGGTGTGATCGGAAAGGGTAATTTCCAAACATATGAATTTGACTTTATTTAAAGATTTTCCGAAATTTACAAACATAATTAATTAGAGGATGAGCCTAAAGCGGTGTGGTAAAATTATTCTTTTGTGACTGAAAATTTATCAGTTTGAATCCAAAAAAAAGATCAATGCTAATTTTAAAATAACAAAGGAAAATAGACCAGTCACGACCTTCTATCTTCCTCTATACATTTCAAGCCTCGTACATTTATTCTTGTCAAAGAAATTAGAGAATCTTATGTGTGAATTTTTATGATGATATTGTAGGGAAGGTTGTTAACCATTGATAAATAAATTAATATTTTTTTACCTTGTATTTCAATAATTTTTTTCTTTTATCTAGAGTAAATACCCAAATTGGCTCATGACAAAAAACTCGGTATCTAATTTAGTCCATAACAAAAATAAATTAGTTGGATAGTCTCCAACAAAAACAAATAAATCCCAAATGATCCTTCTGTTAATCCCAGCTCCAACGTCGTTCCAGCTCCGTCAATGACGCTGTGTGTTTGGGATTAATAGAAGGATCAACATGGGACCTATTTGTCTTTGTTGGGGACTATCCAACTAATTTATTTTTGTTAGGGACTAAAATGGATACCGAGTTTTTTGTCAGGGACCAATTTGGATATTTACTCTTTTATCTATTATTATTGATTTATTTGTTAGTAGTTGAGAATATTTTACATATATTTTTTTTTTTGTGTTTGCTTAAAATTAAAAGGAGCCCTTGTTCTAAACAAGGCCGAACATGAATTATACTAATATTTTGGTTATTAAACAAAGGGGATTCAACTTCTCATGTTACTGCAGAAGTTAATCTTATACTATTTTTCACATAAAAATTGATATATATATATATATATATATATATATATAAAACAATAGAGCCCACTATTATTTGTCGAGCGGAAAACAATTTTCGGTCAACAAATGTATCTATGACACATTCCACATCTTCATCATCACATATATCGTTACCAATGTAGTATATAACATCCTTACCAACTGTATACTCTACCCTGGCCATCATCCGCTGAACGCATTGCAGCCCTAATTTTTGGTGAATTCTCCCCTTTAGCTCATTGTATGTAGTGTCCCGTTTGATTTTCAACATTTTTGTTTTTCCTTTAAATTGAACACCATTGGGGCCTTCATAATGCTTTCCATCATAGTAGACCATTGTTACATACATGTTTGGACTTGTGCTCATCTTTCACACGAATTTGGGAGTAGGATTCTGAAATTGGGGGTCTGGACTTGTTCAATGACAATGATTTCACAATATTAAAGCTTTAGAGATGGTGGGATAAAATAGAATCGTGATTGCAAGGATTACAGATGACAAACAAGAGAGATATTAGTTTACAAAATGATAATATTTGAAATGAGACTGAGAAATGGCAAGATATAGGATTTATGCCGACATTTAATCGATTAAATATTGTGTCTTAATCGATTAAATATCCTTAAATTTAATCGATTAAGAGGGATATTTAATCCATTAAATTTCGGGTCAATGTTATTCCTGAATTTTGATCATTTCATCGATTAAATCTTCAAGTTAATCGATTAAAGAGGTGTGGATATTTCTAGATGAGGGACAAATTGATTATTAATTAATTAATGAGGAACAAATGAGTCAAAAAGTCGCCTTAAACAAAAGAAGGGAGAGGATTATGGTTGAGTTCAAACTTGGTCATATTGTGGTCATCAACTTCTCTTTTAAGTTTAAATCATGTTTCATATTGTTATTTGTAAATTAATTTTTTTTATTTTTCCACTGGATTCGTGGATTGTACCTTTAATTCGGACAAGGACCACAAAGATCACAATATTTTTAATGTAGTTACATACTTAGGGTTTGACTTCTAAACTATTAATTAAGTTGGAATAATCACTACCAATTAATTCAAGTGCTTGATAATATTTGCACTTTTTTTAATTTTAAAAATAAAAATAAAAATAAAAAGATAATGTATGGCCATATGTATTATATTGTCTAAAAATAATAGGGTTTAATGTTTTTGATTTTACAGTAGTAAATTTTTTTGTGTTACACTAATATACAAGTGAGTGAATCTTATTGTAAAGAAAAATGAAAAAAATTAATAAAACCCACACTTTTATATAAATATAGCAGATGAGTTTTTTTTCGGATAGTGTAAATAACATTATTATTATAATTTTTTATTTTTTTTTGGGATCGCAGTGCAAAAAATAAAGTTAAGAGGTCATGTCCATGTGGGCGGGAACTAAAATGGAAAATTAGATTTAAGACAAAAATTACAACAACAAAAAAGAGAGAGAGAGAGAAAAAAAAGAAAGAATTGTGTATTTATTTAGCTGAGTTGAGAAATGAGAATAGAAGAGAGGGTGTGAGGCGCTGTTGGAAGTGCGTGGTACTTGGTTGGGTAAGTTTCGAAAGAGAGTGAGTTGAGTGAGTGAGTAATGTTTTCGAAGGAGAATAATAGTAACGGCTACACGCAACAGCCGCCGCCACCACCACCACCACCGGGAATGGGGCACAGTCACACTCACAGAGAGCGTGTCCGTCGTGGCACTCGCAGGTCACGTGCTTCCGCTTCCAATTCCCTTAGGGTTTGTGACAGTGAACAACAACAACAGCAGCATCATCCAACTCCTTGCACCGATTTCGACATGGCCTATTTCCATTCCTATGCTCACCTTGGTATCCATCAAGAGATGATCAAGGTTCTTCTCTACCTTTTTCTTCCTCTCTTTATTTCAATCAATTTTTTTTTGGTTACTTTCTTCGATTGTTTCTCAATTACAGCAACGAACATCGCGTGTGAAATTTGAATTTCATAAACCCTAGTTTGCCGTGTTGTTATTATTCTTCGTGTTCAATTTCATACAGTTACTTGTTCTTATATTGAGCTTTGTATTTCTTCATACTTTTATGTGGTAGACTAGAAAATTGTGCGAATAAAAACACGTTTTAAGTGAGGAGTTTGACTTCTACTTGTTAATGTATGAACAATTCATAGAAAATCTGATTAGTTTTTTGGTTTGATCTTTTGGAGTTATCCTAACAATTGTTTTTCCTTGTGAATGGATGTTGATTGTATCTTGCACATCAAATTGATTAATAAATTGTAATTTTTCCTCAATTCTCTCCATTACAAGTTCCTTTTACTAAAATTAAATAACTGAAGTGTATTGTTTGTTCTGTTATGGCGGATGTCTAAACCTCCCCTAGTTGAACTTTTACTCCTTTCTTTCTAATATAATTCTTTCTGTGAAATCATAAACCCACAAATGGGTGGCCCTAGGTCCTTGGAACAATTTTTGATGGTTTTGGTAGAAGTGAAGAGGCTAAAGTCTTGTGGCCTTGTGGCATGCGGTATGTGCTACAATTTGGTGCAAATGGTTGGGACATGATAGGCCCTTTGCTTCTATTTTGTGTAAAGCTCATTATCATAACGCGGTTTCCCTAACAGATATGCTGAGAGATTGGGCAGCATTGTTTCATTGATGTCTTCTTTGTAATTTGTTGTTTTGTGTTTTGCTCTTTGTTAAGGAGGATTCCTTGTTATCCAATTCATTGTAATTTCTTTTATTGAAATCATTTTTTTTAAAATTAAAAAATATTGTTTTACTTGATGTTGCTGTGTTCTTTTCCTTTCATACCCTGGTTTGGTACAGGATCGTGAGCGGACTCAAGCTTACAGGGATGCAATCATGCAGCATCAGAGATTTATTGCAGGCAAAGTAATTTATCAACCACACAGATAGTGTTATAAATTGATTAGTAAACTTTTTATTTGTTGATTTTATTTTGTATGTAAGAAGCTGCTAGCAGTTCAATTTTATATATTTTACTGGAGTATTTGGTTTAGAGTTTTGTTTACTCGACTACTGCTCGCTTTAATTTTGGTATGTTCAAATAGTCAAATCTAAAATTAATTATATATCATGTTTAGAATTTTTTTTTTCCCTAGAACATGTTGATGTAGAACTAATAAACAAATCATAAAAGTATATAGTATAGAGATTAACATTTTCTGGAAAAACTGTGTACAAATCTACTTTATTAATTAATGCAGCACAGGCATTGTCCCAAACTGTCATGAACCAGCTCTTTCCAAAGTTTAAGCTATTAGATGAGGACACATGAATATTTTTATATTACATTTGTAACACGTTCTTTCAAGCAAGAACCCTTTGGGTTTTAAGAGTGCAGAATGCATAGGTCCACCTACCTTGTGCTGAAATTCAACTTTTTATTAGAAGAATAGGGGCAGCAAGAATTGAACTCTAGACTATTTAGTCATAGAATGTCATGAACTAGCTCTCCCAAAAGTTTAAGTTGTTAGGTGAAGATATATGTATAGTTTTATATTACATGATCGAATCCCGATAGCACAACGAAGTCATAGAACGCTAATCCTAATAGATACTTACATGTAAGGAAAAACCTGAATCAAACCTATACTTCAGCCTCTGCCATAAATGATTACAGAAAGATTGGGGGAGAGAAATTCAATGGTTCTACAAAATTCTATTTGGAGAACTTAATAATATGTCTCTGGGCCAACTTGACCAATCTTAATTCCAATAGAACAGAAAACCCTACTGATAGGAGACTGGAATCAGATTACTAGAATTATTGAATATTCTCACTGGAGTAGGGTCTTTGTTAAACTCCAACTGAAGTAGGCGGCTGATCTAACCCATGTGGAAGGTTTCTTGTAGAGGGTTGTATTACAATTCCTATACAGTTAACACATGAAAGATGCTTATGTTCAACATGTATCACGTCTTGGAAGAATATCTAGCTATTGATGGCTCATGCATGATTTGCTAGTTTTGTTAATTTGTTTGGATTGAAATTTCCTCGGGATTTTCCTGTCATCCCTCCTCCTGGCCCCTATTTTTTTCCTCTCTTTTCCCCCTGAGGGTTTATATGCTTTCAGGTTGTAGTTGATGTTGGGTGCGGTACAGGAATCCTTTCTATATTTTGTGCTCAGGCTGGTGCAAAGAGGGTAAGCTCTTTCCAATTGACATTTATCCTTTTAGTTGCTCTGTTTTTTTAATACTAAAATATGTTTTTATAAAAATAAAAGCAAAGCTGTTTTATTTCCTGTAAATCCTTTTTTCAATTTTTAGCTCACATGCAATGTTATATTTTTCATAGATGCTTTTTAATTAACAGAAATATAATTGGGTTTGGATTCTTTCTTCTTGATGATGGTTAGATTAGATCCGGAATATTCTGTGTTTCATTGTTTAAGTTTGCAGTTGTTCAAGTCAGGATTTGTACAGGAATTATATTTTGAGTTTTAGCACCCTTTCATCAATCATATACTCTGGAGATGCTAGCTGTTTTGGCTGTATTATGGATATGTTGCTTTATCTCCATGTATTCTTCATTTCTATTTTTCTCAACTCCTTTTGTTTTATATTTTTAAACCATGGAAGATCTTGGGTACTTTTATTTAAAAATGAGCTAGGGGTGACAATTCGGGTTGTTGGGTGTGTTTGAGTTGACACGAACACGAATACCCTCGACACAAATAACTATTGGTGTCAAAAGTCTTCAACACAAACATGACCTGTTTACTATGCGGGTTGACATGACTCGACACGACTTGAATAACCCGTTAATTTAACTTTACAAATTAAAATTACTTAAATAACCTTACTTTAATAAATAAAAGTGGGATGAATGGGGGTAAATATGTAACTAATTAATTTAAATGAGTTGACACAAACACGACACGATATTTTCGGGTCACATTTGGTCAACACGAACACAGCAGGAATACAAACAAGGGTTGACACAAACATGAAAAATCTGTGTCATGATGGGTTGTGTGGGCGGTTTGGTTTGAAAATTGCCTCCCCTACTGGTAGCTGACTTATACTCTTCGGGATTAGGACTTTCTATTACTGTATTTCTTGAGCCATGTGATTTTGTTTTCAAAATTAGACTTCTAATTTCATTGTTTCAAACTTTGACTTATTCCATTATTGAAGTTTTGAGATGCATGACATTGAGGAATATTTGTCTTGCCAGGTATATGCTGTCGATGCCAGTGACATTGCCCTACAGGTAATTTAGATCATAGTTTTCTTTGGTACATGCTTCATTTAGTGCTGGTGCAAATAAAAAACACTGAATTTTCTGTTTGTATAAATAAGAAACTCTCTTACAGAAATGTGACCTCATTGTTTTGAAACTTAATTACTTCTGTGGTATCACAAGCTAAAGTACTTCTTTTCTTCAGAAGCAGTCAGCCTATGGCCCTGATATGACACCATCTAGAATAAGATTGGACAGGAGAAGGGTTACTGGATAGGATAGATTGAGTTCTACATGGCAATGTATAACCTGACGGATTGTATGATATTATTCAATCCAGTGTTTGTTGATGGACTCAATAACATGAATAGGATAAAAAGTTCATGATCATGACATATATACCATTTACATAAAACTTATACTGAATTCACTTAGCTAATTTAAAACCCCCGACAAAAACAATTAAGCTCTATCCAACTAGGTGGTGTTGGTTACATGGATGATTGATGCCATTTGGCTCTATCATGACATTTTTCAGAGCAAGGTCTTCCCCCACTCCGCTTAGGTCCTACTCTACCCCTCTTAATCTTTTGGGAGAGTTGGTTATTGACAGCTTTATTCTCTTGGTAAGGTTCAGTTTGAGTTTATAAGATCTTTGTATAGCTTTCAAATTGTCAAATACTGTTTCATAATTTTCTTACATTACTTAGTGCGTATGTGTGTGTGTGGTACTTTTTCATATCAATTGAATGAAAACGAGTTTAGTTATGTGAGGGACACTATTTTATTGTAATTTGCGTGTTATTTCTTCACATCCCTCCCCTCTTTCCTCGATGGGAGAAACATTAATGATTTTGAGTCTACTTGGATCCAATATTAGATTGGTCTTGTTGGTGGCTGTTTGTCATCACCCAGTCCTATATTGGTTTGTGATACAATCCCAGTAAAAGTCTATCAAAGGAGCAAGGACAGGAAGATTTGGGCTCCCAAACCCAACTTACAACAAGGCCCATTTGACACCAACCATCAGGATGACCTCACTGCCCTCACTGTCACTCAACGGATTACCAACGTGGAAGGGAGTTAGTTACGGAGGCATGAATAAAGAGGGAATGAAAGGCACAAAGGGGAGAGGCTGGGAGAATATGGATTGTGGGTCCCTTAGGGGAATTGGGAGAGAGTGGAGCCTCTCTATGTGCTCCACACTATCTGTTAATTGTTCTTTATCTTGTTAATGGTTGAGAATCTTTTAATTCCTTGTAATCGTTGTTGAGAGATTGTTGAACTGAACCTTTTACCAGATTAATAGTATATTGAATATAATTCCAGAAAAGTTGCTCTTCTGTTAATTGGTTTCTATTATTTGATCGGAGAACTTTATCAATTGGTATCAGAGCTCCGATCTTGGAGCTCTGTGGGATGGTTTGTACAAGACAAATGGATCATCGTTTAGATCTGTTGGAAGAAGGTCTGAAAAGAGGCTGTGCTAGACAGGAGGAGGTTTGTTTACGGTTGGACGCTAACGAAGCTAGACGCGAAGAAGTGCTACGGAGGATGGAAGCCAGTGAACGGGGGGTTGCTGAAATTATCCGGCAATTAGATGCAATGGCTGAAAATAGGAGAAGCCGTTCACGTTCACGAGGAGGTGAGAATGACTCAAGAAACCGAAACAGAGCTTCCTGAAGGAGGAAATCGTAGAAGGGGCCACCAGAATTGTTCGATGAGTAGACGTTTAGAGATTCTGTTGTTTTTCGGGGAGGACGCGTTCGGTTGGGTGAGTAAGGTTGAGAGATACTTCACAATCAACGGTGTGACGGAGGCAGAGAAGGTGAGTGCTGTGATGGTAGTTTTGGAGGGAGAAGCCCTTACTTGGTTCCATTGGTGGGAGGGTAATAACCCAAATGCCCCATGGTTGAGGTTCAAGCGTGAGTTGCTCAGCCGTTTCCAACCGGAGGCGTTAGATAACCCCTACCGTGCGTTGTATACGCTCAAACAATGGGGGACTGTTGCTGACTTTCGCACGGAGTTTGAGAAGGTGGTGGGTGTTCTAAGGTTCGAAGATGAAGAGTTGTTCAAGGGCGCTTGGCTCAATGGAGTAAGGAACAACATTCGGGAGGAACTGATGATGTTGCCGACGTTGAACTTAGCGGATATGGTGAAATACTCGATGAAGATAGAAAGAAGAAACACAGCGTGGGTGGAGGAAGGGATAGGCATAATGGGAAGGAGCTGGGCTGGGAGTGCTGGACGCTCGAATTTGGGCCAACGCAATAATATGGGCCCAAATGAACAAAAGAAGAGTGGCAAACCACAAGCTGGCCCAATCGGGTCTTTACACCAAAGCCTCACCACTCCTAGTTTGTCCACACAAATGAATTACCCTAATCCCCAAAACGCATCGACGGAGAACGTGAAGGGAGGGTCTTCGTCAGCGGGTTCGACGTCCGCTGCTGGAAATCGTGCGTTGGACAGCTATTTGAGTCAGGGTCGTCGTCTTTCACAGGCGGAATGGCGAGATCGTCATCAAAAGGGGCTTTGCTTTAAATGTGAGGAGCGATGGAGACCGGGTCATAAGTGTCGAATACCACAACTGCATCTGTTGTTGGTAGACGACGATGACGAGGAGGAAGTGCAGGGAGACGAAGGGAACACAAAGACGCCTAACAAATTGAACGAAGATGACGAAGGGAAGGATTTGCAATTGTCGCTCAACAGTCTTTTAGGGCTCACTTCAAGCCAAAGCTTAAGGGCATGAGGTGAAATCTCAGGGCAAAGGGTTGTCGTCATGGAGGATTGTGGCGCGACAAGTAATTTCGTGCGGAAGGCAACGATGGACAAACTGAGACTGCCAGTGACAGACACGTCGGAGCACAACGTTGAGGTAGGGGACGGTCACAAAGTAAAGTGCCAAGGCGTCTGTAAAGGTGTGGAACTCCAAGTCCAATCTGCACGAATCATACAAGATTTCTACCTATTCGAGCTAGGTGGGGCTGATGTGGTACTTGGGCTGGAGTGGCTTACCTAGTTAGGTGACATCAGGGCAAACTTCAAGGAAATGACCCTTCGTTTTGGGCAAGGGAATACTGAAGTTCTGATAAAAGGGGATAGTACTCTGTCACAGTCAGTGGTCTCTTTCAAATCCATTGTCAAGGCTATTCATGACCAAGGTGAAGGCTACCTTCTGAGTTCAGAGAAGGACGTAAGGGCAGCAGGAGGGAGTTCTTGGGAAGGTTTGCAAGGATTAATACAAGAATTCAAAGATTTGTTCCAATCAGCCAGTGCACTACCACCTAAACGGGAGTGTGATCATGCCATCAATCTCCAGCCTGGAAGTCTGATACCCAACATCAGGCCTTTCAGGTATCCTCATTACCAAAAAACTGAAATAGAAAAGTTGGTTTCTGAATTGGTGTCATATGGCTGGATCCGTCACAGTACGAGCCCTTATTCTAGTCCAGTGATTTTGGTAAGGAAAAAGGATGGTAGCTGGCGGGTGTGCGTCGATTATCGGGCTCTGAATAAATTTATCGTGCCAGATAAATTCCCTATTCCCGTGGTGGAGGAGCTTCTGGACGAGTTAGGGGGATCAAGGATATTTTCCAAGTTAGACCTCAAGTCTGGGTATCACCAGATACGCATGAGGGAGGAAGATATACCGAAGACAGCCTTTCGGACACACGAGGGGCATTACGATTATTTAGTAATGCCCTTCGGACTAACAAACGCACCTTCCACCTTTCAAGCATTGATGAATGAGATTCTGAGGGAATTTTTGCACAAGTTTACTCTGGTATTCTTAGATGATATCCTGATATACAGTAAATGTAGGGAGGAGCACGAAGAACATTTACGAAAGGTGTTTGAAGTTCTTAGGCAGCATAGACTCGTGGTGAATCAGAAGAAGTGTTGCTTTGGCAGTGATCATGTGGAGTACCTTGGGCATATTATTTCTGCGGAGGGCATTAGTGCTGACCCAAGCAAGTTGCACGCAGTGAAGGAGTGGCCAATCCCTAAAACCATCAAGGGATTAAGAGGTTTCCTAGGCCTCACGGGTTATTGTAGACGTTTTGTTAAGGACTACGGGAAAATAGCCAAGCCACTAACTAATTTGCTCAAGAAGGATAGTTTCAAGTGGGGTCAGAGGCAGAGGCTGCTTTCATTGAATTAAAGAATTGCATGTGCTCATTGCCTGTATTGGCTTTGCCAAACTTCCAGCAGCCTTTCACTGTTTGTACTGATGCCTCAGGGAAGGGTATTGGGGCGGTGTTGATGCAGCAAAATCGGTCACTGGCTTATATCAGTCAAGGATTCTCCCCAAGAGCAATGACTAAATCTTTTACGAAAAAGAATTAATGGCAATTGTGTTCGCCATCCAGAAGTGGAAACATTATCTGATGGGTAGCCATTTTATTGTAAAAACAGATCAAAAAAGTCTAAAGCACCTGCTGGAACAAAGGGTATTAGGGGAGGACCAGCAGAAATGGATGTGCAAGCTGATTGGTTTTGATTTTGAAATACAATATCAACCGGGCAAGGAAAATCTCGTGGCTGATGCTTTTTCTCGGCAGGAGCAGTTTGCAAGTTTGTCCAGATTACAACTGCCCGAGCTGTCTTGGACCAGGAGGTTCAGCAGGACAGTAGGCTGAGGTCCATAGTACATGACTTGGTGGTCAATTCTGAGGCTCATGACGGATTTAAGCTCGCAGGAGGACGGCTTTTCTACAATGACAGGTTGGTAGTCCCCCCAAACTCGAGGTTTATTGTACCACTTTTAGAGGAATTTCATAATTCGGGAGTAAGGGGTCATTCGGGGTTCCTTCGTACCTACAAAAGAATAGCTGGCTTAGTCTATTGGGAAGGCATGAGAAAACGTATAAGAGAGTTTGTGGCAGCATGTGTTACCTGCCAACAAAGTAAGACTCGAAGCTTGTCACCAGCCGTGTTATTGCAGCCTTTACCTATCCCTATCCCTAACAAGGTATGGGCTGATATAGCTATGGATTTCATAGGGGGATTGCCTAAAGCTTCCGGAGTGGATACCATCTTTGTGGTGGTAGACCGTTTCTCTAAATATGCGCACTTTTTGACTCTTAAACACCCTTATTCGGCCAAAGATGTAGCTGATCTGTTTATTAGAGAAGTGGTCAGGCTACATGGGTTCCCTATCACAATTGTCTCGGATAGAGACCGTTTATTTATGAGCTCTTTTTGGACTGAGATCTTTAAATGCGCGGGTACCAAACTGCATTATACTACAGCTTACCACCCACAGGCAAATGGGCAAACAGAAGTAGTTAACAGATGCCTGGAGGTTTATTTGCGATGTATGTGCGGTCCCCTACCTAAACAGTGGCCAAAATGGCTTCCATGGGCTGAGTATTGGTACAATACCACCTACAAGGATTCTACCGGGTTGACTCCTTTCAAAGTTCTTTATGGAATGGACCCTCCTACTGTGCTTAAGGCTAATCACTTTTTTTCTGCCCTTGATGAGGTTTCTAGGACTTTAAATGAGAGGGATCATATGCTTCAGGAGCTGCATCAGAATTTACTCAAGGCCCAGAATCGCATGGTGCAGCAAGCCAATAAGAAGAGACGTGATGTGCAGTTTGAGGAGGGTGAGTTCGTTTATTTAAAGTTGCAACCTTACAGGCTCAAATCTCTTGCCAAGCGAGTGAATGAAAAATTAAGCCCAAGATTCTATGGTCCGTTTAAAATTCTCCAACGGATTGGAGCTGTAGCTTACAAATTGCAATTGCCTGCTGGTTGTCAAGTCCACCCAGTTTTTCATGTGTCATTGTTGAAACCAGCAACAGTTACTGTAACCAATGTACAGCCCCTTCCTGCCTGTTTATTTGACGAATGGGAATTGCAGGTGGAACCGGAGGAAGTCCTCTAGTGGCGCCGTTCCCAGCAGCAGCCATTAGAGGTCTTGATTAAATGGCGAAATCTGCCCGCTTTTGAAAATACTTGGGAGGAATACCCAGTGCTCAACCGTCAGTTTCCTCACTTCCACCTTGAGGACAAGGTGCTTAAATTGGGGGGAAGTATTGATACAATCCCAGTAAAAGTTTATCAAAGGTGCAAGGACAGGAAGATTTGGGCTCCCAAACCCAACTTACAACAAGGCCCATTTGGCACCAACCATCAGGATGACCTCACTGCCCTCACTGTCACTCAACGGATTACCAACGTGGAAGGGAGTTAGTTACGGAGGCATGAATAAAGAGGGAATGGAAGGCACAAAGGGGAGAGGCTGGGAGAATATGGATTGTGGGTCCCTTAGGGGAATTGGGAGAGAGTGGAGCCTCTCTATGTGCTCCACACTATCTGTTAATTGTTCTTTATCTTGTTAATGGTTGAGACTCTTTTTAATTCCTTGTAATCGTTGTTGAGAGATTGTTGAACTGAACCTTTTACCAGATTAATAGTATATTGAATATAATTCCAGAAAAGTTGCTCTTCTGTTAATTGGTTTCTATATTTGACAATTAATTTTGTTCCTATACTGTAAATTTTATGATTTGTTAATTATATCTGTACTCCCAGTTCAGTTGGTGTTTGCTCAACATCTAAAGTTTTGTAAATATCAGTTGTAGATTTCTGTCTACATTTTCTCCTTTTCTTCTCCTGTTCTGTTTTCTATAATTTAATGTTTGCTTTTGTTTTGTTTAATTTCATTTGTTTATTTATTTTTGTGGAATGAAGAGAGCTCAGAGTTGGGTTCTTCTGTTGCTCTTCTATAAGTTTAATTGTGAATGCGTATAAGTTGTTTATGATGTTTAGTAGCACTTTGTACCTTGAATTCTTGGTTTCATTTGGTTTTTTTTTTTTACAAGCAGGCAAATGAAGTTGTGAAAGCAAATAATCTGTCTGATGTTGTCGTTGTATTGCATGGACGAGTCGAGGTAGGCTCCTCTAAACTATATATATATATATATATATATATTGTCCAAACCATTTGGATATGTGATAAAAAATTAAACTCCAAAATCTTGAAACTGAATCAGCAAGTGATATGGCATGTGTTTTATGAAGCTGAGATATAATTTCACCTATCAGTCTATATTATACCAGCAAATCAATTGAGTGTTGGTCAAGTTTTTCAAAAGCAATAAGGTTAATAATACGTGCTCATTATGATCAATATACTGGAAAAGCAAATGAACTTTAGAATTTATATCAATTGGTTTGGCTACAATACATTTTGTCCCTATCCTTTGAATAAATATTCACTCCATTATAAAAATAATAAACTTATGTTGAAAATATCTAACAAATTTTTTTTGAAAAATTTTAAAAAAAGGGGAAGATAAACGAGACTTTTGATGTAAACCCCTTATGAAAGTTTGGTCCAAATTCTCTCGAATAATAACTGCAAAACTCTTCAAAAGATAAAAATTTCTCATTGTCAGCTGTGATCCCCCCCCCCCCCCCCCCGAACGGCTCTTTCTCAGTTTCTTCCTTGACTTTTTGTTCATTGCCACATCTATGTATTTATTCCTGACTTGAATGCTACTTCTCCATGTAGATTTTGACTGCCTCATTTCATGATTTGCTTAGGTTTTATCATCATTTTAGCAATTGAATGTGGGCTCCTCTTGTTAAAAGCCTTCTGGCCGTTCTCTTTTTTAGCTGGCTAACTCCTTTAGGCTTTATTTTGTAGACATTTGAACACTTAGCTTGTGCTGCAGATCATACACACAGACCTTTGATTCATGGTGTCAAATTCTGTATGGGCCCAATGTTTTCTTTGGGCTAGAAGCTAATATAATACGACTACCCTTTTACCAATCCTGCAAACTTTCAACATTGTCTTTTTAAAAATAGTGAATCTCACAGAGAATCTGTATATTTCCTCTAATTTACCACAATATTTAGAATATTAATTTCTCTTAAAACTCAACCAATAATATTACAAAATAGGAAAAAAAATGCAAATCATGATACAATAAAGCCTTCAATTTTGATGAAAATGTGTAATGTTAGGTTATTAATCATGCAAATAGGTAATGAAAATTCCAATTCATCATCTCTAAATGCATCCTAGAAAGGAATAATGGCCACAGGTGGATGTTAATGAATACGAACAAGATGATTTTTTTTTTTTTGGGTGTTACAATATTAGTATCCTTGCTTAGAAGGTGGGCAAATGGAAAAGGCGGGAACTTAGAATAAGAAAGACAACTGTAGATATCTTGGTTTGTTGTTAGTGCCAGTCCTCACAATTGACAAATTCGAGTTACAATTTGGTAATATATTAGCAAGTGCTAGGTACCTTATTCTGATATTAATTAGCATAACCAATACCTGGAATAAATAGAATGATCACTAAACTCTTAAAGGATCGTTATTCTTGACTTTCCATTTGACTCTCATTGGGATGCTGTTGTTAGGATACTTTGATACATCAAAGTAGCCCTGGGGGGAGGTTTATTATGTGAAAATAAGGGGCATATGGAGATTTGTTGTTATACATATGCTGATTGGATAGGCTCTCCTTCAGATAGACATCCTACATCAAAATTTTTTGTGGGTAATCTGATTTTGTGGGTGTAAAGAACCTTGAGGTCACCACCCTGGATTATGCAACAGGCCCAATCTTTGGTTTACCTTTTTGTGCTTCCACTTTAAAGTGGGGGGCGGCGAGGCTCTGATACCATGTAAAGAACATTGGGATACACTACCCCAAAAGCTAGCTCATAGGGTGAGAGTGCTCAAGACCTTATAAACTCCACATTAGTTGCACATACAACCAATGTGGGACTATATATCTCAACAGTGGGAAAGTAAGAAGCAAATTGTAGTGGCTAGATCTAATGCAGAAGTTGAGTGTTGAGTAATGGACATTACGACTCATTTATTTAAGGCAGTTGCTCGAAATTGTGAACCACAGTAATGAAATTAATATGTTGTAATTAGATCACAATGAACATATCCTCAAATCCATTCTTTTGTGAAATAACTGAGCATATAGAGATTGATTATCATTTTGTTCGAGAGAAAATTCATTTTGAGGAGATTGAAACAACATTTATAATTTATTCTCCTATGATCAATTTGCACATATTTTTGATAAGACTCTCAAAGGTTCTTGAGACAACTAAATACGTGACAAGCTTAGCGCATATGATATATACACACCAACTTGAGGAGTAGTGTCAGAATTGTTCGAATATCCTAACAAATTATGTGAATATGTTAGAGTATAATTTATGATTATGGTAGGATATTATGTATTTATTATGGAATCAATTAGGATTATGGATATAAGGGAAATAAATTTTTGTAAATACTTCCCACACTAATATATATAGACTATATGTGGTCTGTCTGAGACACAGAACTCAATTTTAGATATTCAAGTTTGTTTAAGTTCAATTTATGTGTAACTTTCAGCTGATTCTACTTTACTCTGAAATTCGTATAATTTTTACTTAGTCAACTTTATATTTGCTACTAGGGGCACGCTGTAATGTTCTTATATTTACCTTAAGTTATGGTTTTTGCAGGATGTTGAAATTGATGAAGAGGTTGATGTTATAATTTCTGAATGGATGGGCTATATGCTTCTATATGAGGTGCTCATCAAGATTCTTCTCATTGTTTGTGTAAATATATATTTTGGAAAGTTGAAAGGTAAAACAAATCATCATGAAATCAGTTGAGGAAAACCATGAATTAACTTTTGAGGCGACTGATAGTTTAATAACTTAAAATGAATTGAAATTAAAAGAAAGAAAGAAATTTTATCATCACTATCAGAATGATAAATGTGTAAAGGTTTAGAATTTAGTTGCATTGTGTACAAAATTGAAGTGAAAGATGACTTCTCATATTGTAATTGTAGATCCTTTATGTGTTCCAATGATTGACTAAACAAAGAAAAGTAGAATTTCTCATTTGATGATCGTAGTTATGGAAAGAACAAAACTGCATAGTAAATAATTGGATAGACCACAAGCTTATGGTTGAACTATATTTTGTAGTCTAAAAGATAAGGAAGCTATTTTCTTTTTAACATATTAAATTATCAAAAGGGGGAACCTTTTGAGTTGGATTTCTTGTCTTGTTTGAATCTGTTGGATACATATATAATTTGAAATCTTTGGAATTTATAGACTTTCGTCCATTATACTGGTGAGTCCTTCTTCCATTTTGGTGGTGCTTGTTTGGCTTTTCTGTGGAATCTCTGCTATCACCAATTATGCCTCTATTAGATAATGCTTTTAAACAATCACTATTAAGATACTTGTCCAAATAGATTTAAAAACACGATAAAGTAGTTATTTATTTATTTATTTTAGTAAATTTTTACTTTATTTTAACAGACAGCCATAAGACCAGCAATACTTATGGCACTGAATATTGGGTGGTCAAATGCCAGCAAGAGCATAAGCCAAGTGTTGTAAAGATGAGAATTTTACGATTGATGAGTGGATAAACAAGAATGGTTGTGTGTCCATTATTCAATGCGATTAGAGGGTTTCATTGTATTGATGTTTTCTTTTGATAGGGAGTGGAATAAATACTGAAAATAGGATAACAAAACTCGAAAGAGGAAATCTCCTTTACAAAGGAAGAAATACTGCTCAGTAACAGAAGAAATGCAGCAAAGAAAATGACAATGAGAGCTATTCCGTTCTCCTCCACCCCCAACATAGCATTTCCTGCACTTATGTTCAGTAACAAGAAATTCAGCAAAGAAATGACAACCAGAGCTGATTCACAGACTCTGCCCTCCCTGCCTACGCCATCAAATCATTATCCAAAATTCCGTCCTCCCTTCCTTCCCCCTCTCTCTCTTCTCTTTCCCCTCTTTTGCTGCACTTATCATAACTACTGCTCAGTAACAGAAGAAATGCAGCAAAGGAAATGACAATCAGAGCTGATTCACAGACTCTGCCCTCCCTGCCTATCCACCAAACCCCACTACCCAAAATTCCGTCCACCCCTTCTCTTTCCTGCACTTCCTTATCAAAGTGCCTTCTATCATTGTATAATTTCCCTCTCCAATACTCTGCTGCCATGTGTACACCATTTCAAAGAGGAAAGAAAAGTTTTCATGAGATTATAGATTAGTAGTTGGATTTGTCAAAGAAAAGGTTAAGGCATAATATCTCCATTGCTACCATCTAGAGATAGAGATGTAAAAGCAGTGCTCATAATTTTTTGATATACTGTCTTCCTTTTGAGAGGACGAACCAAAATAATAAATGACATTCAGAACATTTTTTTTTTTTTTTTTTTTATTTTTTATTTTTACTTTTCGATGGGGTTGGGGAAGGGTGAACATCACTGCATCAGTTCCAACATAGATCTGCGCCTGTCTAAATGATACTCAGACATCAGCATGAACTTTACTTTCCCAGCTTTTTACACCACTTTTTAATAATTTATATTTGTTTGAAGACTTTTTTTTTCTTGTAGAGCATGCTTGGTAGTGTTATTACTGCCAGAGATCGCTGGCTCAAACCTGGCGGTCTTATTCTACCTTCAACTGCAACGGTATCTCCATTTATTTTTGCTAATATGTAGATGTATTGTTTATTGTTTATACTACATTAAATGCGTCCTCTAAAAAGGTCTTTTGTCTAGTACAACCCTGGCCCAATAAAACTTTATAAACCAAATTCTAGAATTGCTTGAATGTGATTGGGGACTCAGTTTATCTTAAACCTGATAATGCTGACTTTTTGGTGTCTTATCCAAAAAAGAAAAAATGCTGACTTCTTGGTGTACTTCTCTCCAGTTGTACATGGCTCCCGTCACACATACTGATAGATACAGTGAAAGCATCGACTTCTGGCGCAATGTTTATGGAATTGATAGTGAGTGCACTACTTGGTTACTTGTGACATACCATATTGTTATGAAGATTTCCAAATCTGTGTTGTACTTCGTATAGACATAAAATAGATTGCTTATTTACAGTCTTTATGAGTGGACTCTTCATAATGATTATAATATAATCTGCTTTTAGAAATTAACACTGCACTTTAACTTATTTGTCCTGCAATACTTCATTTACTATTGATTAACAGTTTCTCTGCTGCAATATTTCTTTTTTCATGTGTTAGAGGATAAGTTATCCTCAGCCTTGCTGTACTTTGTATGTATGTATGTATTTCTTTCAATGGAGCATAATGCCACAATTTTCCAGGATATATTTCCGCCATTTACTCTTTTGTTGATAGAGTTACATTCTTTGCAATTTATGGAATTTAACTATGCTTTTCCATGGTTTCTTTGTCAGCAATTCGTCAGGATTGTTTGGTTCTCCTGATATCATTATTCCTTTTTTCCATTTTGATTGGTTTCCCTTTTCCTTTTGATTGTTTTGGAGGATACATTATCTTCTGCCTGTTTAGTTTCCTTTTTACTGTTACTAATAAATTTTCTTCTTTCATTGAAACAAAAATAAATTTACCTATAAATTATCCATCCTTAAAGTCAATGACGAGGAATTATATCTTTTATGATTGTTTTTCCTTTTCCAATGGAAAACTACTGCTGAAGTTTTTGCCACATCTTTCACATCTGAACTTGGGTTACTTGCATTAAAATGTAAATGGTTATTGTTGAATATAATTTCCTATTTAGGGGAAATATCTCTTATTCAGGGGCGATATTTTGTAGGGTTTTGAGATTTGTTTTAATTCAGAGATTGTAAATCATGTATATAATTAATCATTTTAAGTACTTCCTCTAGCAATTTAGAAATCCATCTGCTTGAACCCTAGAACACAGACTTGTCACGTCCTTCTTCCGTCGCCAAGTTTGAAACTCCTGTCCACCGTGAATATGAAGTTTTCCTGTAGCCACCAACCACCCATCTTTTTGAGTGTCGTCATCATTCACCTCTGTGCATAGCTGCTTTGTTGGTGCTTGATGCCAATGCGCCGTCTTGGCGTGTAACACCCCCAAATTTCTAACAATTTTAACAACAATAAAATATTCCTTTAATAGAGAAATGTTCAAAAAAATAAAATATTTAATTATTTATTAAGATCTTATATCTATTTTGCAAGCTAATCTAAAACTAATTTGGAGAAATGTTACCGCCGTACCTGTACAGGGACAAGTGCAAGGCTAACTCTATTAAATTCAAATAAAATCAAAGAGTACATTTTTATACATAATATTTAAGACCAGCTAGAAAATTCTGAGTCTTTATTCTAACTGCCCACTGCTAGCCCGATTCTTTAGAACCTGTTTAATTGAAAGTCTCCCCCCGAAAGGATCATTTCAGTCAAACAAACATAAAAGTCAGCAAGGCTGGTAATCCCAATCAAAATACAAAAAAAATAAAATAAAAATAAAACTCATATAATCAAATCAAGTAATATAACTCAAATTCAAATCAAGTATCAACTCGTTATTAATTATATTAATCTTTATTTAGTCTATTTAGTGGGATGAGAACCATGGTAGACTCGGAGATCCTGCCAGTCTACCCTGTGACCCGGATATCTTGCCAGTCACAAATCAATAATTTGGCCATTATCAAAAACATCTCTTCCTAGTGTGCACACCTCTTTCCAAAGTTGCTACTAGTATCTCGGATATCCTGTCAGATACCACTTTGAGAAGAACGGATAATATATGTTCACATCGTATAAATATATCAGAGGCATAAAGCCCAAAGGTTGTGTTCATCACTTTAGGAGGTACCATCCCAAAACTATCCTCCCACTATTAATTTATTTCAATCACATACAATCAATTCAATCTTGTAACAATTCACATAATTGGAAAATTTCCTCAGGTAGTTTTCATAATTTACCAATAGTATAATTTCCAAATTCAATTATCCAAGAATATCATAATTTTCAAATCCATCCAACATCTATCAAAGTAAAATCCAAATCCAATCATCATATCAATTATCCATTACACATAATCCAATTATCCATTACACATAATCCAATTATCATTACACATAATCCAAATATCATATCAATTATTCAATTTCAGTGTATCAAAATCATAATTTCCACAATTATTCAATAAAATTCATATAGTACATATATTGCACATAATCAATTTTTCATCATTTTATGAAAGACAAAATCTGTTATCAAAGCATTAAGATTATTCCCAAAATAATTAATCCTATTATTTTCTAGGAGTTAAAACCCAATAAAATTGCATACACAACAAATCTACAACCACCTAGGGATTAGGATTACCTGGCCTCCATGTTTGGTGACTTCTAGGAGGAAAAACAATTAGAGAAGAGAAGCGGTTGTGACCAAATTAAAATAAATAAATAAAATTTTGAGGTAAGAAGAGAGTAGCAGAGGAGAAGAGGAGAAATACTAAGGATTGAAAGTGAATTGGTTTGGTTAGGCTAGACCTCTATTTATAGTTGAAGTTTTGGGCTCGGATATGGGTTTTCTGCAATTATTTCCTTATTCTTCATTGATGTATCTGACTCAGATATTGACTTCATACACTATTTTCTTTTTATTCTTAATTTCTTATGACTCAGAATATTGCTGATTCATCATATCTAATCAAATAAAGATTGCTAACTCATCCTAATCCAATCACATTACTAATCAATCAATCAAATATTAATGGACAAATGATCAATCAATTAATAATTCAATTAATCACAATTTATCATTTAATCCTAATATATATATATATATATACACACACACACACACATTATAATTTTATTACTGTTATTATTAATTTATTATTATTATAAATTAATATTATTTTTCTGGGATATTACATGTCGTCTTCCCAATATCTTTTAATCGTAGTGTCATGCTCGTTCCCCTAGCGGGTATCCCCTTGTCCTGTTTTGGTCATTAGCAGCGCAAATCTGGTCTATCTTAGTGGTAGGTAGTTGATAGCCACTTGCTGCCCCGATGTGCAAAATTTGCTTCAAATTCTGTTAGTACTTCCAATTCTAAAGGTCCTCATCCAGTGTCACAAATTCATGTCATAGTGTTTCTATTGCTTATACCCCTACAATCACTTCAGAAAAGTTGGATGGTAAGAATTATTTGGTTTGGTCATCCTCCATTGAATTTTGTTTTCAAGGTCCAGGTCTTTCTGGTTATATTGACCTTTTGCTAATGACATTCAGTGCTAGTATGGTTCAACCTAGGAATTGGCTTCTTTTGGACAGCTATTTTTGTTGCTTAGGCGCAAGCTATAGTAGAGGAGTTGAAGATTTTTTCGCAAGCTAACAATCATCCAAGTTTATTAAATAAATTGAAAAACTTGTATGTGGTATTGGTTTTGCGAGAATGTTCAAGACTGAATTTTTACTGATCAATAGGTACCTGCTGTAAAGAATCTCGTCACTTGCCTTTTGAGGGTCCCTCCACCTAAAGCCCCATATCCCCCTCCAAGGAGGCTAGGGAGTTAATTAGGTTGTGGAAGTTGTCTTCAATGTACTTATTATATAGTCACTTAAATTCCAAACAAGGATTCAAGGAACATAAAGGAAACAACATAAATTCATTGAAAACAACTAAATTAACAAAATTCAAGGAACATAAGGAAGGATCTAATTGCTGTCAAATACAAATTTCAATAGACTATTTTAAATTCAAGGAAGGAATTAATCAAAATCATCATTTCCACCCTTTTCCAGGTAGTTTTCTTCTTCCTCAGTTTCACTAGTACTAAAATTGTTGTTCCTCCTCAATTTCTTCTTCGCTACCTTCCCTTTCAACATCTGTTTTTTCCTTTCCCTTAGTGCTTGAAGGCATTGAAATAGCTTGCTTCTTCAATCTTGTTTGTTGTCAAGTGTATGTTCAAGGTGCATCAGCCCCAATTAAACCAGCAACAACTCCCCATCTATGTATCATCATAAAAAACAAAGTCATCTTCAGCCGCTTCACCATCTCCACCCATTTCCCCAGCAACCACTCCCAATGAGAGCTTGGTTATATTTAATAATAAACAAGTCTTGTAAATTTTGATGCTCGAGCCTGCTTCTTTTCTTGGAATGAATCTATTTTATAATTTAAATAAAGAAGATCAGTTTCACGATGAATATATGAAACTGTATAAAATTTAATCACCCAACATTTACTTACATGCTCAAATGTACTCCAATTACATCCACATTCACTGAGCTGTAATGCAAATTGCAACATATTAGCATTACTATATGTTTTGCCTTTAAGAGAGTGATAAAAAATGCACTTTTACTCGGCAAGAGCTATTTTAGTTCTTTGTCGTATAGTTGCCTAGATACCAATGAGGCCTATGGCTTTTCTATATGTTTCTAATTCAATCTAAGTCTTATCCACCTTTTACTTATTTGCATTTAGCCTCTTAATGTATTTATAAAGTCCTGCCATCACTTCTATATCATTATGAATTCTTGGATTGCTATAAAATAACTCAGGGTTTTGATAATAGCCTACCGCATGCAATGGGTGATGAAGTTGACATTCACAGCTTCTATCAATAATATCAAAAATGTTCTTGTATTAATCTTAATGTCCATTGAAAGATTTTTGAATAGCTTTTTTGGCTCTATCCATTGCTTCATATATGTATCCCATTGCAAGCTTTTTCCATTATCAACAAGCTTAAGCACACGAACTAGAGGCCCTATATCCTTAAGAGAGGAAACAACATCATTCCAAAATGAAGGCTTATGCCTCACCAATTCCGTCTTGTTTGTGAACTTCCTCATTGTGTTCAATGCCAACAAGTGATTGTAAATGAATCCTACAAGACTGATGCCCCTTTGTATTGTTCCTTTGACTCTATCAATCTTTTCAATGCCTTCCAACTTAAAGTCCAAACAATGGGCAGCACGTGGAGTCCAAAATAGATGTGGTCTCTTGGCTTGTAACAATTTGCCTAAGATCATCAAATTAAATAAACTACAATGAATAACAATTAAAATTAAAAATAACAATTAAATATTAAATGAGTCAAAATAGATTGTCATTTTTCGACCAATACAACATTATTTTCATTGTCACCTCTTGACAATATTTCGTTCCCTAATCTCTTCTATAAAATTATCCAAAAGCTCAAATAACTTTTTCCTAGTCTTAGCGTTAGTAGAAGCATCAATACTCTTCCCATAGTTCCCTATGGACAATTTACCAAGAAAATTATCCAGGTCCTATTCTTCCTATTCGGCCATTGTTCCAACATAATTGAACATCCATAGTCGGCTCATTTGACCTTGTGATCCTTTAACAATTCCTTTTTATACTACAACTCTTTTTTTAGGAGTGGAACTCTACATTCATAAAAACTGTGTTCAATGTACTGAACTGTTCTAGCTCTTGCGTCTTTATCACCGGCATCTTTTATGCTTGTTTGCTTTTTACATTTTCCCAATTTGATATTTGCTTCTGGTTTTTTTTAAAAAAAAAAGTAAATCCAAGGGACTTTTGACACTCTTGTCAGCAGCAACTTTACTTGTTGCTTTTCTTTTTCCACTTCGAATGTTATGAATTTCTTGCACTTCTTTTGCATCATCATTATCTTCATGTATATCAACTATGTATGCATTCTTTTTAGCTTGCTTCTGGACATAGACTTCCTTGAGTATCCTCTTAATTTCTGGTGGGATTTTTTTTTTTTACAGAGATTAACATCCCCCTTCAATCCAATTTGGTGTCTTTTGGCCCTTGTAATTCCACCTGTTGTAGTTTTCAAACAAAAATCACACGTGACATATATATTATTGGTAGGATCTTTTAAACTATTCCAAACCACAAGAAGCGGCTGAAGTGGAGGAGTTTAATGATGGAGAGATCTGATCATTGTTGGATGTTGATGTCATGAGTGATTGAGTGAAACTGAAAAGACACGAAATATTACTAATTATATATTAATATAAAAAATACAATGGAGTGGCCTAATCATTTATAATATTAATACATTAATAAATTAAAATATTAATATAATTGTGTTGGAGGGTTTTTGACCATCTGGTCATTTATAATCATTCAATATAAAATAATAATTTATTAACATGTATCCAGATTAATAATACATTCCGATTGATAATATGTTCTATAATATATAAAAACAGATTAATAATATATCCAGAGTTTCAGAATAATATATATTAATAATATCCGTTGGAGTTCAAAATAAGATAAAGATGGTTTTTGGGTTTCACTTGCCACAAAATGAGAGAGAGATATCAAATTGTTCCTTCACGCTGGTGATCACAAGTTCACAATAAAGTAAGAGAGATTGAAGGATGTTGGAGTTTGAAATAGAATCTGCAAGATAAGGTTCTGCTACAGTCAAAGAGGTCATGCTGCCGTAGACTTGCCAAAAAATGGGTGAAAGAGTTAGGTTGAAGCCAGGAAATGGATGAGAGAGAGAACGAAACAGAGGCGCTGTAGATCAATATTTTGGAGTGATGAGGTTGTAAACAAGGTAGGGTTCAGAAATAAAATGGCTACTTCAAATAAATTGTAGTGTTGCATGCGGTTTGTTGTGGCTAAGTGCCGCTACCTGCTACGAATGCAGTATTGTGCGCTATTGCGCCACTTTTTTCATCTATGCATGAATCACATGGATTTTACTATATCAAGTTAGCTCATCCTGTGTTGTGTGTTGCTACTGATTCTCCCAATCTTCTCCAGTAGCATCTAGGTCATTCTAGTTTTTCAAAACTTCAACAAATGGTTCTAAGTTTTGCAAAATTAAAATCTTTCAATTGCGAGTTATGTCGACTTTGGAAGTATGTTCGTGCTTGAAGCCAGGGCAAGAGTTGATAGTATTCTTGTTTTGTAATTATCCAGATATATGATATCGAAGTCGTGTCTCTGCTTCCTTAGCTGTTAAGGATTTTGTTACCTTTATTGATTACTTTTTATAATGTACTTGATTATTCTTAATTATAGAAAGGTTTGTGTTATTTTCCATATTCAAGTCTTTTCATAATGAAATACAGAATCCAATTTGACAATTCAATTATGATTTTATACAGTGATATTGCTAAAGATTACTTTTCTATGATTTTCCATGTTTTATGTCTTATAGTTTTTAACATCAATCAACATGTCCTCACACCCCCAACAGAATGAAGTGGTTGACAGAAAAAATCATCATACTATTGAAACTGCTTGTATCTTGTTATTACTAGCTAATAAAATATGCCTTTACATTTTTGGTTATGTTCCTGTTTGGATGTATTTGTTTTGTCCATGACCATTCTCTTGGTCGAGTTTAGTTGTCTCTTTGTGCTATTAAATATGTTTTTCTTGGTTCTTCTAGGTAACAAGATAGGTGCATATGAGTTGTGTGCTCTAGTTTGAGGGGAAGTGTTAGAAAGTATTTACTATTTTGGAAAAATATTTTCTATTTAGGGACTGTATATTCTGTAAATAATTAGGATTTGATTTGTATTATTTTCCTTAATTTCCTAGTTTCCTTAGTTTTTTAGTTTCCAAATACCATATTGTATTTTGCTCTCCTTGGATGCGAGAACTTTAGCCAAACATCATTGCAAGTTGCTGCAAGGAGTGTCCCGTTTTCAGTACTAGTTTTTATGCTAGTAAAACGATAAACTTAGGGCTTGTTTGAAATCTATTTTGAAAAATAGGTTTTTAATTTTCAGAACAAAAAATAAAAACCTCGTTTCGTAAGGCCTGTTTTGTAATTTTTTTTTTTTTAAAGAACATGTCTAGGTTGTTCTTGTTTTGTGTTTTGATTTTTAACTTTCAAAACAAAAAAAACAGAGAAAACACCAATTTCCAAACTATTCTACAAAACAGTTGTAAAGAACCTTGGGATACACCACCCTAAAAGCTAGCTCAAAGGGTGGGAGTGCCTAAGACCTTATAAACTCCATATTAGTTGCACATACAACCAATGTGGGACTATATATCTCAATACGCCTCCTCACACGAGAGCCCATTGGGCTTGAAGAGTGGACAATGCAACAGGCCCAGCCTACCTGTGCTAAGAAACGCCACACGCCACAAGAGAAAGTGGGGGGCGGCGAGGCTCTGATACCATGTAAAGAACCTTGGGATACACCTCCCCAGAAGCTAGCTCAAAGGGTGAGAGTGCCTAAGACCTTATAAACTCTACATTAGTTGCACATACAACCAATGTGGGACTATATATCTCAACAACAGTTTTAAAAATAAAAAAACCAAAACACAATGAAACAGATCCTTAATTTCTTAGAATTGTCAAATGATGGATCTTTCTTCCAAGTATGCACATAAATCCCATTTTGAGGTATTTACACTATTACTAGGGTAGAAGAGTCTGTAAATATCCTATATCCTTTTTTTCTATTGCTTTACTTATCACTTTTTAATTTTGCTTTCTGTTGCAGTGTCTGCTATGATGTCATTAGCAAAACAATGTGCATTTGAAGAACCTTCTGTGGAGACAATATCCGGTGAAAATGTTTTGACATGGCCATGTGTGGTGAGTCACTACTGCTATTGTCACTAAATTTATTTTTTGACTTCTCTTTGTAACTACCAGATGCTGAAATACATACCCATCTAGGTTTTACATATAATTATTTCTCCTGCTGAAGTTGTGGAAGGTTGGTTAACTTACGCTGTGATTGATGTTTTTCCATATCACACTGTACGAGTATTGGTATATGATAACAAGAGTTTGTATGTTTCACGATTTGGCATGAAGCTCGGTCAATAATTCATCTAGAGTTGTTTATTTTTTCCTCCTCCTATATGGAGAATTTAGGGTAGACAAAAGGTATAGAATAGGAAAACAGTACTAAACAATGTGGCAATAAAGAATATTGAAAAAAACTTTTAAATATAATTTCTAATTTTAGCTGTTGGTAATATAAATAGTGTTTTCATTGTATAAGTAAGGTCTAAATTTATTGTGTAGACCCACCAAATCATGTATTTATTTATAGTAATTAGGGTATCTCCTATATTTGTAATTATTCTTTTTCACCTATATAATTTAATATCTGTTATGTAGCCCAACACATAGATTTTGCTAAACGTCTATTGTTTCCTTTTCCCTTAACATGATATTAGACCCTCTATAATTAAATGGTCTAGAGTCCAATTCATGTCGATCCCATTCTTCTAATAAAAAGTTGAATTAAGGTAGATGGACTTGCATATTGTCTATGCATCAAACCCAGAAGGATCTTGCGTAAGAGGGCTTGTCAATGCTTCAAGCCCATAGGGCTTTTGTGTGAAAAGATGTGTTAGATATCTAATGTAATGAGCAACTCTCCCAAAAGCTTTAATTGATTGCTGAAGATACATGAATGGTTTTATATTAGATCTCTAATGCACTCTCTCATGTAAAAACCCTTTAGACTTGAAGTATGGACAATGCTCAGTCGCCCATATTGTGCTGAAAATTAAGTTCTTTTATTAGAAGCATGGGGCAGCTGGGATCAAACTCTGAACCATTTGGTCAATAGAGGCTATGATACCATGTCATAAACGAACTTTACCAAAAGGTAAACCTATTAGGCGAATACCCATAAATGGTTTTATATTACATCTCTAACATGTAAAATATATAAGATCAAATCATTCATGTGTTTTCACTTAACAACTTGGTTTATAGAATTCGATATTTGCAATTAAATATTCATGACATGGCCTGGTATCACCATGAGCTTTGTCCACTCAAATGATCAACCGACATATTTTTTCACTGAGGCTTTAAGGGTTCCTCACTCAAGTCTTATATGTAATAAGTTTGGTAGATATGACCTATATGTTCCAACTGGAGGGAAATCGTATGTAATGTAAATAGTGTCTAGTTTATGATAATGCTAGAAATATTGTAAATAGGTTGATAATATTGTGAGGGATGAAATCCCATTTCGTTAAATTATTGTTATGAAATTGTTATGATCAATATATAAAATAGAGCCTCCGTTGTGCTATCAAGATACAAATTTAAACATATGCCTCTCCGTTCATCATTATTTAACATGGTACCATGCAATGTTGTCAAAATCGTGTTTTAACTCATAGGATCGTACGATCTTACAAGTTTTTCATCATGGACATGCCAACTCGGTCGCAGGATCATGAAGGAATGGGGTCGCTCGGGATCGCTGATTAAACTTGTAAAAACGTGGAATCGAGCGATCCATCCGTTTTGGGTGATTTACAAAACGTCCAACAAAGATGAGGGTGAAAGACAAAAGGAAAAGGAGAGAAAGAGTGAAAGAGAGAATGCGGTCATTATCGTCGAAGACCGGATTGGAGATGAAGAGGACACTGGTGTTCTCTTGCTGCAATCGACCATTGAAGAGAGAGTTGGGTTTTCATCTTCACCACATGTTTCTTTTCTCATTAAAGAGAGAGAAAAGGAGAGATATAATTTAGTCTTGGGTTTTCACATTCACCATGTGTGTCTTTTTTTTAATTAATTAAATATAATACTGATTTAAATATAATTTGTATTTTTTATATATATATATATATATATATATATATATATATATATATATATATATATATGGGGCAGGTTCTTTTTATACCAGTGTAAGACTAACAAGTCTTACATCACATCTCAACCGTTGATAGACAAAAATCATTGGTTGATATTTTTAGTGTAATTAAGGATTAATTCATATTAATTGATTTGTATGACTTCTTCAATTATAACCATTGAATGCACGGAAATCAACGGCTGAGATTTTGTGTAAGACTAAGTCTTACACTGGTGTAAAATGACCCTGATCTTATATATATATATATATGTATATATGTATATATATATATGTATATATGTATATATTAAATATAATTTTATATTTTAGGTAAGATCTTACTATTTGTGTCGGTCTTATGATTTACAATCTATATACCTCTTCCGATCTTAAGTAAGATCTCGAGTCTGCCATCATCCGGCGTCCATGTTTGTGCTATTGAGACACAGATTTAAACATGTTCATCCGGTCTCCTTGTTATTCAACCGATAGGAAACTGTTCCTGTCTAGATAAGGGAGACAAATTAGTTAGGAAAACTAAAAGATACCAACTACAGAAGCAGAATACTCTTCAGCTGTTGAGGAAACCACCAAGCCCAACCTCCAAATTGCTATTGAAATATAGATGAATATGCACTCCAATGAGATCAACATGGATTAGTAATCATCTTTCTCGTTGCAAAATGGACTGAAAATGAGATATTCATTGAATGAGGCTGGGGGAGGACCAAAGAGAATGCCTGATGGAAATTGCTCTTTGCAGTATTTGGGGCTTACGTTTGAAGAAAAATTCCAGAATTTTCAACTAGAAATCCTTTAGCTGTTTATCCTATTGGACAATATAGTATTTTTTTTCCCGACTTTACAGAAGTTTTATTTCAGATATGCAGTGTTATGGTGATCATTGCACTGTGTCGTTTTCACTCTTTTGATTTTGTTACCCTTCCTTTTTGGTGGAAAAGAAAGTTAATGTAAAAGGGATGTTGCCCCCTTCCTAAGTTAGGCATACAACAGTGGTATATAGATGACCTACCAATAAATGACCACTAGCAGGAGTCGAACCCTGGGTCTTTGGGTCAAAGCTTTTGATCCTATTAGTAGAGCCAATCCTCATAGGCATTGGCCCTTGTTATCTCATTTCCTTAGGGAATTCATTATTCAATGGCTCTGTACTCTTTTACTCCTATTAAAGGGTGAAGAAAAAAGAGGTGATTAAACATTATTGGTTAGCATCTGTTAGTAATGGTGCTAGGTTTACACCATTTATCAAACAAAATGCACTATTTGATCAGATTGTCCCATTTATTTATGTCTTCATTGCAAATTTATTTGTGCAATAATGTATGTTTGTCTCTGAATATTATGCTTGTTTAAATTTTCCTCGATGGTAGTATTCAGTATATTTCTAATGAATTAATCATTTACTATTACAGGTAAAATATGTTGATAGTTATTCTGTTACGACCCATGAGTTAGAAACCGTAACAACAAAGTTTAAGTTCAAATCAATGATGCGAGGTAACCTCCTGCTGTCTGTCCTTCCTTTTACCTGCTCCCAATATTTTTTCTTGCTGCTAATATTTGAGCCTCCCGCATCTCCCTTCATGTTTACTTGTCGGTCTTCACAGTGATCTATTCTTATACAATTTACTAATAAACTATTCTGCATTTAATGAAAATCTTTAGTAATTTGGCATTGATTGAAGTTTATTTTCTGTTTTGTACAGCACCACTACATGGTTTTGCATTTTGGTTTGATGTTGAATTTAATGGGCCTGTGATAGCACCAACCAATTATCAATTGCCAACTTCATTTACTGACAGTCATCAGGTGAATGGTAGTCAGAGAAAAAGAAGAACAAATCCAAATAACGGACTGGTGCTGTCCACTGCACCTGAGGATCCTCCAACCCATTGGCAGCAGGTGCAGTATTTATTTATTTAATTTCCAATTTCTATAGGTGATTCTAGTTTCATTGTTCAATGATGCGTACATTCTTCTGTTAGTGCTTATCTTAAGCATATTTGAAAACGAAAATGCTTAACTTGTTTTCAATCTGGTTGCATTTTTTTATAATGTCAACTATATGCTTGTGCCACACTATTGCAGCAAGGCTCCTATCACCTTGCCGAGTGGCACTTGTTGGGGAGCAAGCATGGTTGTCAAACTCGCGATTAAACTCGTAAACTTACGAGTTTATGCTTTGGAATCCCCTCATCGATCCCGATTCACTGTAAACTCGTTTTTGGCATTGACACGGTAGAAACGCCGTGTTTTTCGGCAAACTCGTTAGCTCGTACGAGTTCAGCGATTCTAGCAAAAACAGAGTGACCCATGGACCCAAAATTTTGACCCGCAATCGATCGAATAAATGGGTTTTTTTAATACAAAAAACCCTAAATACCTTGTTTCGGCAGCCACTGTTCCTGCTCAGTGAGAGACGACGACTCTTGTTCCACCCTTCCGAGTCTTGGCTGCGCCCCACGCCTCCACCGTCTTCTTCGACTCTGGTTGTCCCTCCCTGGGTGCGTTGCGTGCCTTCTCCATGTGCCTGCATCTTTGTCGTCGTGCTCGTTTGCAGCTTCGCGGTTCGCCATCGTGCCTTCGCCGTTGCCGGTTGGTGTTCTGCATCAATCTCTTTTGAGCTACCTCTCTTTCGTTTCGTTTCTGCCTCTGTTGTTTACCTTCGTCGATTTTTTGTTTCTGTTTATTTTTTTTCTACCTTCGTCGATTTATTTTGTTTATTTTTTTTTCTGCCTCTGTTTATTTTTATTTTTATTTTTTTCTTGTTTTACTTGATAAACCAAATTAGTTTTATTTGATTGGTTTATCAAATAAAACTATTTTGATTTTTTTTTTTCTGCCTCAGTTTTTTTTTTTTTTCTTGTTTTACTTGATAAGCCAATTTTTTTTTTTTTAAAAAAACGATTTTGCCTCTGTTTTTTTTTTACATTTACATTATGTGATTATGACTATTGTATGACATTATTTTGCTAGTTGGTTGAATTAAATTTGCTTATTATATTACTTTATATACATATATATATAATTTGTATTCCGTGTTATGATTCTATTATCCGTGTTACTATTATGCGATTTATTATTTTGGTTCACCCTTCCGTGTTTACAGAATCTCGAGTTTGACAACCTTGGGTACAAGACTACGTCTTAGCAGAGCACATATTATAAAAATATTAAATATGTTTTAACCAACAAGCTTGTAGCTCAATTGGAACGGTCCAAGGTCTTTAAGAATTGGGTGTGATAATAATGTTAAGAGGTTTGATCCTCTTTAGGTCACCTATCGTTCTCGCCTAGGCAAATGCTTTCCCCATCACATATTATAAAAAGAAAAAATTAACGTTTGGATGACCAAATTGGGGGTTTACTCAATTATATTAATAAGTTTAGTTGTGGAAAGCATGCCATCCTTCTTTCCAGTTTCTATGTTGGATGCTTGTATGTGAAGACACACTCCATGTTGCATTTTTCATTTATGATATTATTTTGGTGTCTCGATCTTATTGATGTGTTTTGCAGACATTGATATACTTCTATGATCCTATAGAGCTGGAACAAGATCAACTAATTGAAGGTTCAGTGACATTGTCACAAAGCAAAGAAAATGCTCGATTTATGAATATTCACCTTGAATATACGTGAGTCAGAATAGTGTCCTCCCCCATAATTCACCTTTTAGGTCATTTGGTATGGATTCTGACTTTGTTCCCTGCAATTGCAGTTCAGGTGGTCGATCGTATGTGAAAGAGTCTGTTATGAGATGATCTTATTGATTGTCTATTGCATCGACACTTGCACAATATGCTGGGACTGTTGCATATATATCTTTGCTGACTTCGTTTCTCCAACAGAACTGAGATAACAGTTTGGTTCGTGAAAATCACTAATATCTGTTTACTAGATTAGAATGGAGCAATTGACGAACTTGTTAGCCTATACATTTAGGTCAATCAAATGAAATTTTGTTGTAATTTAATTGATAGTCCAAAATTTACTGAGGCGAATTATTTATCTGTGGTCATTTTAGTACATCCAACTATTTTTGTACTACACATTCTTATCTATTTTATTTGAAATCTGTTATTCATTAGCCCTTTTGCTGTGTTTGCCTTGTGTATTGGTAGATCTCAATGTACTGAAAGGCGAGTTGCGCATCTTTGCCTGGCTCGGTGTTAAGACCCAACTCAAATTTATTATATTAGTTCGGGGGAAGGTATTGTTAGACTTTCTGTTTTGGGTCATGTCGGTCTTCAATTCTGTACAATTTATTTAATATAAAGTCCTTTGGATATTGCTAAGCCAGTGTGTTTGGATAAAATGTCCAATGGGCTGGATTGAGGTATTCTTGTGTGCATGTGGTGCATTATTCAATTCTTATAATAAATCAAGGAAAAAATATTTGTTCTTTTAAATGACATAATTTATATTATTTCACTCTCACAAAAAGGTGGGATCTATACCTTTATCTTTTTTTGTCCACTCTTTCTTCCTTTTTATCTATCTCTTTTTCTTATTTAAAATAACATAACTTCATATCTTTTAAAATGGTACACATTTTTTCCATAAATCAATAAAGCAAAACTGATAAGGCTAAATGTTATATCTTTTTAAGTTTTTATTTGTTCAATATAAACTAAGTAGTATACACTTTGAGACTCACATGTGTGACTTTGTGGGAGCAAGTTGTGTCTCTGAGTTTTAATAACTCAAAAGATAATGTGTTTGATCCTTGGATAAACCATATGGGGAAGGATTACACCGTTTTGCTCTTGATTTTAAAAGAGTGGAGATGTCATTTGGAGTTGTGCTCGCATATAATAGCTTTGTAATTATCTCTACTTTCAAAAAAAAAAAAAAAAAAAAAAGCTTCTTATCTTGCTTAAAATAAAATAGTACCTTATACTTTCTAGCTAAAGGATAATATTAGAGAGATTAAAGAAATAACCGTCATCTATTTTTAAGGCTGTATATAGAGAAAAGTGATGATCTAACCTTCCGTAGCTCAAGGAGTAATTTTAACTAAGTTTCACTTTTTTTTACTCAGTACTTGTTTGTATTGCGTTATCATGGGCGGAATAATGAATTTCCTCTTGTGTGGTGTATCCAACAGAGCCACCGTTTAGGCGTACTCAAATAATTGAAGTTACAAAAAAATTAAGCAAAAGATTATTAGTTTTTTGAAAAATCTAAATTGGTTTCTCGTGAAATTTATTTCAAGAAATCATTTTAATGTTATTTTAAATGAAACTAATTAGATATTACAAATATTGAAAAAAAAAACCCTAAATTGATATAAAGTGTATATTTAGTAAATGGTAATTAAAAAAAAATTAACTCTATATTATGCAATTATTGTGTTAGGGGTAAATGTGGGAATGGGACCAAATATGATGTGAGAGTCAACATAATTAACTCTATATGTACAAGTTATCCTTTTCCCTTTTGCTCATCACTTCATGCTTGCGTGTCTTTAATCAAACAAACATCCCCAATATTTGCTTGAATCATTAGGTGTTGCGAGGACATTATGTATAGAAAGGCATTTTTGTCATTAACCAATATGCAAAACTAAAATTTAAGAGAATTTATCTCAGGAAAGTAAATAATGAAATTCTTTTGTTTGAATTTAGTTATGTGATATATTACATCGGATTATCAATTATTCGATTAATTCGGTTTAAGTATGATTGAACTTATTAGAGAAACAACTTTTCTAAAATCATTTTTTTCTTTCCCCGAAATTCAAACTCTCAATATATCTAATCAAGAGAAAAAAGCTTCTTACCACTTGAATATATATATATATATATATATATATATATATATATATATATATATATATATATATATAGATGATTAATTTTTTATCTTTACTCTTGTTAAGCTACAGAATCAGATTGAATAAAACGTAAATGGTTAAAAGTTGATTTCACAAATTGAATACGAACATAAGAACTGCTTGTTGTTGATAGGTAAACTTTAGTGGTGTGTCGATTAATGAAGAATTGATGACGATGAAAAACTGAAAAAAAATTTGAGAAAATTTTCATATTTATAAAAGTGCATTATACGCAAACCTCAATTTCTATTTATAAATTGAGAGATGAGAGCATGATCTGCAGATTTTGAAGGTTATGCAGAATTGTGAGATCTGCATTAATCCATAACTTACAGCACACTACATTAAAAAAGAAAAAAAAAACTACATTAAAAAAGAAGAGCACACTACATTAAAACATGGCATCAAAACCATAACTTACAGCAACTCCACTTCCTTTAATTCAATCTGCAGTAATCTCATTAGTCATAAACAATTTGTGGTTAACAACCATAAAATGCCAGGTATGTCACTTCTGGGATGAGATCTGATAATAGTATCACTTCTTTTATATATGCAGTTTCAAATGTGTGTCCCTCTAGTTTACCACATGTGTTAATTGTAATATGCAAATTGATCATAAACTTTCATTTAAGTAAGGGATGTCAGTTATAACTAATAAGCTCTTAACACATGCAGTTCTGAAGTTTCAAAATTCCTCCAAAATAGCCCTGCAATTTCGATTTTATATTATATTAGATACCTAAATTTAAATCCACAAAAGTTGACCTGAATTGTGCAACACGAGTCAAGTGAAAATGAATACGCAATAGCAAATAAATACATACTGTACATACTATTTTGTAAAAACTAGACTATCTCTTTATAGATATTTACAAAGAACCCAAATGTAATACTGATCAAAACAGTAACTCTAAACTGATTCTTACATACACATTTGGTATGTTTACCACTACAAGTCCTACTTGGATATAATTATACTTCTTTCAAAAGAATATACTGTACAAAGTGTCACCTCCTCTTCCCCAAAAGAAAAATTTAAGGCATGTTAATATTTACTAACTTAGCAAAATTGTTGTAGGAAGCGGTTCCAAAATGAAAACTTTGAAGTTTACTTTCCACCAATATTAAAAGTTATAAATTACTACAGACATATATATGCATACTTGAGTTTCCTAAGCCAAGCTTCAGCCACCTTAGTTGCACAAATCAGATCAACCTATAATAATGAGACACATTTTGATGTTAACTAATATTAAAATACACAAAATTAAAGAATCATATGATTCAACTTAAAGATAAAACAAGATCTTCAATTTAGTCAAACAAGATAATCTGATTGTTTTGAAACCAAGTTAACATGTGAAATAATTGGGGTGAGCTGTATATATGTCCAATCAAGAATCTCATCAATTCTTACTCTTAAATGCAATTATTCTGCCCAGATCAAAAAACACAATAACAAAACAGTTGAAAAAAACCTCATTATTATATATGATCTATTATAAACAGAGAAAGAAAAAGGGGTTCATAGTTCTCACCATACTGAGTGAGAGCATGAGAAGAAAGGCAGAAAACTGTGGTCAAAATCCCGAAGTAAACGCACAACAATACTACAATGTCCATTTACATGTTCCAGTCTCAAAAATGGGTGCCGAATAAAGTTAGCCACTTTGAAGTTCTATGTGTGGAAATTAAACCAGTGAATGGGTGCACACACTGAGAGGGGAATGAGTGTTAAAGTGATGATTACAGTGGTAGTGGGTAGAGGATACTTTTACAATTAAACATACAATTTAGGCAGTCTTCCTACTCATTTATTCACAAAACCCCACGAAATCAGAATTCTCATTTTCACAGCACAAATAGGAGAGACCCTTTCAAAATCTGAATAACAATTGAAGAAGGCACAAGGGAATTTTGCTTTCTTATACTATACACAAGCGTAGTGCTCTAAGCATAATTGGTTTAATTTTTTTTGCATGTAATAATAATAATAGCAAACCATAGCTCTAATGAATTACATTTTTTTTGAGACATGGCAAAATGATTTAGGAGACTAGTGATGAACATTTTGACTGCTTAATGACCCTTTAACTTATTACATCCAGATTTTAGTCTTTTTTTTATTTCATTTTTAAAGTATTAATGAGCCAAAATCCAACCAAAAAGAGAAACCAAGAAACACAACAACTACCCACACTTAAAACTGTTAGACATACTTCAAACTGATTTTATAGGTTCAAGTTATATTCAACTCTGTTGATTCAAAATTCCTATGTGCTAACACACTTGTGGCCTTATCGCTTTTGCAACAATGAAAGACATCTGTACACAATTGTGGGCCACCGGAGCAGTGTTACCGGATGAGGGAGAAAAATCATGAACAATGTTAGAAAGGGTAGTTTTGGGAGCTCCCTTTCTACCCATTTTCGCTTAGCTGGTTATCGGTCGAATACCACCATTGAAGTAGGATTTCAGAACCATATTATTTGTCCAATTTTGCATACAAACTTCAATTGATAGGTAAATCGGTTGGGTAGGCAAATTTTTGGATCACATGTACCAAACGTGGATAACCTACTTACCCTGTTTCAAATGCCTAGCAAAATTTTGAGATAACCTGTACCAAATGTTGGGAAAACTCGGTTCCCTCAAGTTCGGCTCAGGGGCCTTTTGTGCGGAAGTCAATCAACAAGATCCTGATCTCGGATCTCGGCAATACCTCGACCTGAACTTCACCAGGTCGAGCAGCGCAGCGGAAAAATCAAAACGTAAACACAGGAGAGAGAGAAGAAGAACACAACCAGATTTAACGTGGGAAAACCTTCTCCAATGAAGAAGTAAAAACCCACGGGACCTAGTCCAGATCAGAAATCCACTATGAAAATAATGGTTACAACGAATCAAATACACCAATGTGGTGGTTAACTCAATCTCTCCAACAATGGTGATAATCAAACTACCCTAGAGATGTTTCACTCAAACTCTCTCTAGAGATCTCTCAAATGCAAAGCATAAAGCTTTACTCAAACAATCAAATAATTTTTCTCTCAAATTTGTTCTCTCAAATCTGACCTAGCCTCCACCCACAAGTAATGAGTATATATAAATGAGGTGGAAATTAGGGTTAGGGTTTTTAGGAAACCCCTCAAATGGGCTTGGGCTTAGCATTGAAGGAGGAAGCCCAACAAATCTCCCCCTCCGACTTCAATGCGTCGGCTTCAGCATCAACCCGGCTCCTTCACAACAGTCTTCAAA